AATGCATTTTTAATTGTGACAAAAGTCAATTTATAAAATTTTAGTTTTTTGGTCGCTATGGACAATTGTAATGGACCCACTGCCTGTTTTTTCATTCCACTGATGAATTGGATTAGTTTAAATATTGCTTTATAAATTTATAGTTTAGATATGAAAACACAAGAAAAATTAAATTGAATAAATTTATCGATTAACTTATATATTCTTAGCATTAAAAGTTTAAATACGAATAATGTTAATTTTTAATTGAATTAACTTACTACGATTTGACCAATCATATAAAAGTCAATAAATTAGTTATGTATTTGCTAAATTTTAGTTGTTCAAACTGTTAAACAAAATGCTGAGCTAACGCATACTTAGTCAGTTTTAAATTATGTTAAGTTTATAAAGTAATTTACCCAATTTATGTGTAGATATTACAGTCTATGGAGTAGGTACTTCTATATTATCACTCTTAAGGCCACAGATCAGAGAATTTTATGAAATTTATTCTCACACTCGGCAGATGATTCGTCGCATTTTCGCCTTCTCTGAGGTTCATTTTCGCCATTCTGAGTATTGTGGTACGTTCATTGTATCATATATCATGACTATACTCCATAATTCGTGTAAGTGGGCTTTGGCCCTTGGAATCTGTGAAATGTAGGTATGTGATGTTTTCTTATATTTATCATTATTATATTTATAATCACTCTTCGTGAAAATTCGTCGAATTTTCGTTTACCTTATGATTAATTAGAGCTGTCCATGCTAAAGTTGTGAACGAAGTGGACATTTTGAATTTTGTAGATTGCTGATAGATTTTTCGTGTCCATTTTGGGAAACGAAGAGCGCCGACCTCGGTAGATGGAACTTTACAAATTGGAATAGTTTCGCACTACTCTCTAGCATCCATCTCGTTGGGTTGGGGGTGGATGGGGGGACGCCTTGCTTATTTCTACATCCGCCTCCCCTCCATGTCGATGTTTTGTTATCTGATAAAGTGTGTAATTGTTTGTAGGATGTGCTCCAAGAACTGGATTGAATCACTTTCACGTCGAGTCGGATGTTTTATTTATCCTCTGGCATATTACGTACAATGTTCTACCTAAAAATTTATTTAGACTAATTTTTGTTTTATGATAATATAAAATCCTTCACGTAAATTGTTAAAAATTATAAAACACGTGTTTTTATTTTTTCGTAATTATTACATAACTGCGATACATCGTCGACTAATGTCACATGAGGTCACGCTTTTGTACATTTTTTACAATACTGTGACGTAGTGAGCCCCCCCTCAACTTTAATGGCTACTATCTAAGCTGTATCTTGTTATATGGAAGTAAAAAAATATGTGTCTAATATTATTCTACTATCTGAATGATGGACTAATTAGAATTTCTTTTTTTTTTATCCAATCGTCGTCCGTATTGACGCACAAAACTATTTTTGTATTTTGTACTGCGGCAATTAAATCAATGTTATAAAATTACATAACTGCGATACATCGACTTAAAATGTCACATGAGATCACGCTTTTGTACATTTTTTACAATACTGTGACGTAGTGAGCCCCCCCTCAACTTTAATGGCTACTATCTAAGCTGTATCTTGTTATATGGAAGTAAAAAAATATGTGTCTAATATTATTCTACTATCTGACTGATGGACTAATTAGAATTTCATTTTTTTTTATCCAATCGTCGTCCGTATTGACTCACAAAACTATTTTTGTATTTTGTACTGCGGCAATTAAATCAATGTTATAAAATTTAGCTTCAAAACATTTCCACAAAAATTTATCACATTGTCAAAGGAGACAATAAGGAAGTTAGCTTCATAGGCATTTCTTTTGTAACGTTGTTTGATTTTCCTATTATTAAATATAACTTTTGTTTTATTATTATCAAAGATTCATATTCATAAAAATAATTCATTTTTTTCATCAAGTTTAAAACCATAATCGACTTTAAAAATCGAAACAGGCTTGCGGTTTATAATAATATTCACAAATGGACTCCGTCGAAAGAGGTTTATTGAAATTTTCGTCTGTTAAAGCAATTTCTTCAATTTTTACCTTTTTATTATTTTGTTACCCTACTGCCCAAAAAAGGAGCAAGGAGGTTAATGATTTAATTATACTCTTTTTGAGGGGCTTACAGCATTATTCACATCATGGTTAATCAATATAACACGTTACAAAGATAATATAAAACATGTATACAATCTGTTGAAATTAGTAAAATTAAAAAATAACTAATAAAATTTGTGCGCAGATGGGAGTCCACTGTAAAACACACTTAGATATTCTTATAATATTATAAAGACATGTTCAGCGACGATTTCAGTATAATACGGTTCAAGGTAGTAACTTAATACATTTATAATATGTCTTGTACTATTCAAAAGGTTGACTATTAACTTCAACTTTTGTTAAATAAATGACTAATTCTAATATGCTGCTAACAAAATTATTATTAAATAATATCACATACATTACTCAGATTCCAAGATGAGTAGCAACTAAAGCCCCCGTATTATGGAGTATCTGAGATGATACTACAATACCCGAGTAGACCCGAGACAAAGGACAATATAGAAAAGTCAATTTTCTATACTGACCCGACCAGGATCGAATCCGGGATCTCGAAAAACCAAAATCCAGCGCGTGGATCATTCGGCTATGGTCGTCTGAATTCCAAAATTTTTAGGTATAACATTTTTACAATTTTAATTTTGTGTGAAACAACTTTAATGTCGATACCAGTAGACCGGTTCTCCTAATGTTTACATAACATTCGCATCTCAATAGAATCTCAAGTGCCTACATTTTGCCATTGCACTCTGTATTTAAAGTCTAATATTATTAGTGCTATGTCTTCCTCACAAATCAATGATGACAGATATATAATTATATTCGACTAGGCAGATAGTACAAGGGCAAAATGCAAATAGTGTAGATTCTATTGACATAAATCTACACTATTTGCACTAGTTGAATTTTAAGAATTGGTCTACAGAACTTAAACAAATAATCAAATAGAGGAGCTTCACCTTTTTTGGAGGCCGTTGAAATACTTTCCGTTATTTTTATCTAACAAAACCTGAAATACTATGTAACGTTGGAGTCTGCACTTAATATTTGTCAAAATTCATATTATTAAACTAGGCTTAGCAAAGTTTAACCTAGTAAGGGGTTCTACGGGACTAATATTTACTCCTAGAAGGCAGTAGGTTTGCTTATTCTCTGTATAATATGAATTTGGACTAATATTAAAATTGCAATTTTAGCCTAAATTGACTCTAATGCTAAACCTTGTTTATTAATAGAACTGTAATAGTTTCTTATATTAAAGGCTTTGTTAATTTTGCTATAAAATGTGTCCAATAGGTAATATAAAATATCTAAAAAGGACATAACTTTGTTTTCACATAAAGATAAGTCGACGCGCTCTTGTTTATCGCGTCAGTTCACGTGGCTGTAAAAATTTTTTTTTCCTTTTTTGTACAATTTACTGCCTTATAAATTCGGTACGAACACGAACAGTAAAACGTGAACCTGGGTGAATTTTTCAACGTGCCACCGTCACTGGTAAATGTACAATAACTATGTACTTTTATATACTAGTACATCCACTGTATACTGAAACGGGCAATGATCAGTTTTATAGTGTATTCGTAATATCCTATCTTTTTGTTTGGGCTGTGTTTCTTGGAATTCTCTCCCAGTAAATATATCTTGCAGACATTAGACTCGTTTAAAATGCGCGTAAAGGAATGTGCCTACCACATTAGTTTATTCGTTTTTTCTTTGACAGACGATAATAATAATAAGTCATTCATTTCAAGCGTTAATTAAACTAAGAGAAACACTGGATTCTGGCGGAATCTACAAGGGCAAGCTATTAATTAAAAAGAAGAAGAAGACACTCATATACACAATCATAAGCTTATAATGAATAAAATTAGATTAAACAAATAAATTAAATTGGAAATTAAAATACGTAATTACAAAATATAATGAAATAAGTCGCATAATAAATAGCAGCATATGAATTAATACGCGTACGCACATAAAAACATTCGCCAAACCGTTAAAATATAACAATTATTTAAAAGCAACTTAAAAATTAAAACAGTAAATTAATCATTCAAATAATACTTTAAATATGTTTGCTTTATTAATTTGGATAATATGTATTTTAATATATATTATATCCAATGGTTGCTGGAAGAGATCGCTGTATAGTGATAAGATCGCCAATTGTGACATATAACTTAAGTAATTTTTTTTTTGTTCTACGAATTTTTTTGTGTTTGGTGTTAAAAATAAAGTGTTATTTATTTTTCTATCTACCTATACCGTCTTATTATAAAACGATGACTAACTTTAGCACGAAGTTTAAATTATAATTCGACCAGAATAAGTTAACACATATTGATTTGATGTTTTCTCATTTGCCATTGTCAATTGTTTAAACGAAGTACTATTAATTTTAGTACTCGTTTTAATATAAGACCAATTATATTAACATTTTAACAATTTACAGTTAAAAATAGTATATAATAAATCTGGAACGAACGAACACGACACAATATAAACATAGCAGAAAGAAAATTATATATACAAATCAATTAGCTGGGTCAGTGACCTTTGCACCCTTTCTTTACATAGCTATATATTCTATTAGAGTAGAACAACTTTTCCCAGCAACCAAAATATAAAAATTATATTCCAAAATCCAATAAATAATTTTTATTTAAAGGCTTCATAATTTATGTTGATTTTTCTATTCACACCATATATTAATTATTACTGTTTATTACGAAACAAAATTAAAATAATATATCTTAAAAAAATCTTTTATGTAATAATCTAAGTAAATTAGAAACGAATATTCGAAATATATTAAATTTCAAAAGTATAAAAAAGGTATTTTCATCTTATGATTTGTTTATCGTTTGTTGAACTTTGCTTGTTACTGAGTATTTTAAACCCTTTTATATTTTTAGTTATGTGGTGCTCATTAGGAGAGAAAAGCAGCGGGTACCGTCCGTTCAAACGAATACGGTTAAAGCGGTTGGCAGGTGAGTGTTTCTTATAGTTTCCATGTAAATAAGGGGGCAAACAGACCGGACTTATATTATGCCATGCCACTTTTGTGTTGAGAAATCACCTTTCGTGTAATAAATATCATTGTAGAATTATAATTTTGCAACAGATTTTTTTCGTATTTATGTAATTTAATAATCAAATTAATTTAATAATCAAAAGCGCTCCATCGCCACAAAGTTTGAAAACCACTGTAAGAAATATTACATTTATTATTTACCATACTTATACGTAACCGAATCACGTGACTCGCGAAAGAAAACGTAACATAACGTTAACGTATAATATATTGAAGTTAAGAATTATTTATATCAAAATACTAACAGTGTTATTACAAAAGAGACGTTAAACAGTATTTTACCGTGTGTTTATCTAAACTGTGTTTATGAATATAAACTCTGTTTAAAATGATGTCTAATTTTCCCTATTACAAATTCATTTTTAAACATTGTCTAAGTAAAGAAACATTCGTACTACTGGCTTTCATTCGTTCATACACGTTCAATTCTATGCACGCTGTATACAAACTTATAATAAATTTTAGACGTAAAAAGAAACTTTTTAAACACTAGTTAATCATTTTTGTAAATGAAAATATTTAATCTAAAATTATCATTTTTAATTTAAATTCAAAGACTTATCAAAGTCAAAACTATAGTGAAATATTGTGAAAGGTAAGATACTCCATAAACAACATATCATGTGTCAACATGACATGTGTTTAAATTTTAAACAATGTTTAAGGATTGTTTTGCCTTAACCAATGCTCAAATAGAACAATTTTTAAACACGTGTTCAACGCATGTTTATCTTTTTTGTAATAACACTGTAATAGTTTATTTGCGACAAAACGAGTATATATTTTATACTTTAATTTATATGTACCGTACCTCTTTTTAAAATATCCTTGTGTAAATGCTATTTTTCTTAAATGTATCTAATATGAATGACTTGTTGATTTTTGGGTGTTGCGTGTAAATTTAAATTATTATGGAATGGCATCACATAAGCTCAGTCAGTGTACGGCCTTGGTGAATGCATGTTTATTCAGATCTTTGGCTCGTCAGACACGTGGTACATTCATTTTACGCAGTTTTAATGTACGAAGTACAATTTAGTATTTATTAACTACATTAATTAGTGTTGACATTTTAATATAGTGGACATTACAAACAACTATGATTTCGAGTAGTGTGTTATTTCATGGATACCCATTTCTTAGTGTATATCTAAATGAATATTATTATTAGTATAAAATATCTTAATAATTTTAAAACTTTAAAAAGCTTAAATTTATTCTGGTTTATGTTTGCCAAATCTTGCAACTGAATTTTTAAGCAAACTGAAATTTTGTATAAAGGTCTAGTGTTACGGCTATACATAAATTATATTACATGATTTTGAATCTAATATGAGGGTACTCCCAAGATGGCGGCTTAGTATTTTGACTCTGTCATGAAATGAGTATCAAAAAATAAGATTTAAATAAGATTATGTTTTTACCACATTAAATAATGATTTCATTCTAAAACTAGTATGGGAGATTACCCAAGATAGCATGATAGTTGTGTTTTAAACACTTTCATGATATAATAAAAAAAGTAAAAATATTTAAGCTTTTGCTTGTATGTACTGAAAGTATATATACACAGTTGAACGTAAATCGAATCCAACTTTATAAGCATGGCGCTATAATATTTTGAATAAAATAAAAACTTATTTCAATTTTGCTCAAACTACGCAAAATGTGAATTTAAAACAAGACATATTTTTGAACAGATTCAAGACCCGAACTGGTGTACACATTTATTGAGCAAGCTGTGCAGCCCGGTGCCCAAGTTGCGCTTAAGTGCTCAGCAGTGGGAGAACCACCGCCAAGACTGAGGTGGCTCCTGGATGATCTACCAATACCTAGTCACCACGGGTGAGTCATATGATAACAAATACTCCATCGGGTGGTAACAAATACTTGAATGTGTATCGGGTGATACCAAATACTTCAATGTGAACGTATCGCGTTCGATTCTGAAGCAACAGACGGCAATCCTGTTTTAGTCCGACCACGTTTCACCATGGCTAAATATATTTTCAAGAAATTTATTTAATTAAGTTCCAGGTAATCAATACCGGAACTTAATTTTGATTTTGTATTCGTTACTCATTAAATTTGTATTTTAGGTAAGTTATTGGAATGTTACTTATTATTATTCTTTAACCGGGAAACATTTGTTTAATACATATTAAATTGTAATAAGTAATTACGAAAAAAATGTAAATAAAATGTGTTAATGATATATACTAAACGTATTAAAAAATGTGTACTATTCGAGAACTAACCCTGTATATATGAACAGTTTCAACTTTCATCTTCTGATTCGTTTTGCCATGAGCGTGTTCTAACTTGGAAAATCACAAACTTCATATAAAAACTTGATCCCGATGTCAACCTCTCCGAAAATTACATTTTTGGAACGAAAATATAATAGTTGCTTAAAAAGTACGTCATTATAGCGTATTAAAACGAAGTTAAAAAGGCATTTTATCTGAAAAAAGTGCTGTTCAAATATAATTGAAAGTGCTTGGGCTTCCGAGCTAGGGAGTTTCTCTTTACTCCCTAACTCGGAAATCAAACTACCTCGCAATAATTGATAATTTTAGCACATTGTACAACAACCTACTATTGAAACATCGCTTAAAATAATATTGCCATCACAAATACCATTTCTTGTACATTCAAGATATGTTATTGTGTGCCGTGTACACAATAATACATCTTGATTTGGCACTAAAACTCTGTTTTGGCGCAATTGTTCAAACCGGCACTGCAGTTGGCAAGGGTGCGCCTTTACATGCATTTTAGACGTAAATCTAAAATGGCACGGGATATATATTTTTTTTCTTGTCTAGTAAGCAAAATATGGTTTGTCAAATACAAACATTATATAAATTTAAGAAAAAAATACCAATCGCTTGCACTACAAGGCTATCATTGCGTAACTTTGTAACATATAAAAGGGTTCTTTAAATAAAACAAAAAACATCTCTTATTGATCCGCATTCGGTATGTATTAATTTTTCTTTTATTTATGTGTTAATTCAAATAAACAAAACCCTTAACCCTTTAAATATATTTGGCAATGTTAACATAATATTTAAATAAAGTATATTTTTTTCATAATGTAGGAACTTTAAAGCTCTACTGAGATTCGGGATTCGTTAAAGCTCTCCATTCACTCTATCATTTAACACTTCGCGAATTTCTACTCGAATGCACTTGGCATCGCAGATCTAAACGCCGCCAGCAAAATGTAGGACGTCTCATCGCGAACCTATTTATATCTGTCTCAATAAGTTAGCCTAACAATAGATATTGATCCAGGTGACTTTGATTTTGCCTGCATATTTGATAAAATACAGAAACTGTCTACCCAGCAAGGGATCTAATATGAAGCCGTAAATATAAAGCACATTTGATAAAGTAAAGAAAATAATATTAGATAGTTCATTTTTCATATAGAAGTTCGTAGTTGACAATTGAGGTAAGTGTTGACTACCAATAATTCTAAAATTCGCCATGATAGAAATTTGAGTTGGACGAACACAAATTCAAAGCTACTGGACTCTATTTGAATCAGGATCTGAGTTTATTTGATGAAATATAAATCAGAAGCGAAACGAGAAGTATTCTAAAACACACACAAACCTTTTTGGAGTTATTTTGAAGGCAGTACTTAAGATCTAAGCTACGTTATTACGTCAACAGAGCCACTATAACAGAGGGCCGGGAGAACAGTCCAGCTGGTATAGGTACTAGCAGCATCTACGTACTGTCGACTTTATCCCTGAGCAGTGCCCGCGTGGAGCAAGGAGGTCGCTACGAATGTCGTGCGAGCAACGCCCACGGCACTGTCGCTCATGCTGCAAGACTTAATGTTTACGGTAAGCGAAAACCTGGAAAATGTAATTAAATAAGTAGTGTATTTACCATCCTTAATATAACTCTACAGACCCAGTAAAGATTGTCAGACAGATGAAGCCTTCTGAAAGAACTCGAGATAATAAATTTTGGACACAATCGTAGCAAAAACGCCCTCACCACTATTGAGCTCTTTTATGAACTTTTTTTATCTTGCTATAGATGTTCGTGAAATTTGGAACTGAATTTTAAATAGGTGAATTTTTTAAATACAGGTTTAGTTTAGATTTGTGTTTAGAGAAGTAAGATCTTCTTAAATCTAGTTGTTTTATTTAGCATTGTCACGAAAATGAACGACATACTTAGGTAAACACGAAGATAGTAATATGACTTCCACACACTTACGGAACTTTATTGACTAATGAAAATATAGAACAATAGACGGATAATACTAACAATCATATAAATCTTGAAATAATGTGAAAGATAAGACCTACCGATCAACACAGGAGCGTGCCGAGCACGAACAAGCATGGAACATTTGTAAGCGGGTATTGTAGGCATAGCACCCGTTCAAACTGATGTTATGCCCATAGTAGATAATTTATTTCGTGCTTGTACATGGTATATTAAGGTACACTGAAAATAGTTTAGTAATATTAGTCAGTTTGATCTGTATTACTTAAATCAATTCAGAAATGTTAGTAAGACCACAAATATAATATAGTATACATTACATGCACTAAATGCATATAAAATGTTGAATTATAAACAAGTTGTTCGACATTATATCTTCTGATAATGTACAGATGTTATCCGATACATTAACAATAATGACGATACCGTTCAGATTTGGCGATGGTTCAATATTCCAGCATCGAAATTTATTGTATGGAAAATGATGCCAATATGTGGCAACGGCAAATTTTTTGTATAACAGATTCTTTTTATTTTTATTTACGTAACAAAAGTTTGAAGAAAACATATCCACAGACTAGTCAGGCTAAGAAGGGAAAAGTGGCTCATTTGTGTTGTACTAGAAAGAAAGCTTTATTAAGTTATACAGACTGTGACGATGCTTGGGCGAATTAACAAAAAGGCTGACTAAGCTTGAGAATTGATTTTATTTTATGGTGATGAAGTAACGGCAAAGAAAATACTGTAACAAACAAAAATGAATATAAAAACAGTTCGTATGTTAACCTAAATATAAAATTACAATTGCTAAGTAGAACAAATACATACCCCTTTTTGGGGTTCCTGTAATATAAAATCTTGGACGTTATTTCAAGATATACTTTTAGATGAAAATTTTCTATTTTAATAATAACTTCATTATTATACAATTTTATATTTAAATTTATACGATTACAATAACATGTAAACACCCAATGAATTTGTATGAACTGACATTCATAAAGAGCTTATTGGATTAGTCAAAATTTCAAGTTACGAAAAGTGAATAGTAAAAAGAAATGATGTTGTTGAAGATCAGAGACAAAAAGTTTGCATGCTGAAACCTAGGACAAAATAAACGGTTGTACGGCAAACCCTTACAAGACTAGAGATAGTCTGTCTACATCAATGGAAAGCTTTCGGTGGTTGATAAAACTCTTACTCTTTCTAGCACAGCATATTCGTGATACTGTTTTCACTGAGGTACTGTCCTCTCCCTGCTGCTACTATACGGTGGTGTAGGCAGTGCAATAAGAGCCATCAAATTGTTTACCAAAATTAGTTATCTCGAGCTCCTCCGTTATTCGTCAGGCACATCAATGTCTCGATTACATTTGCAGTTCCAAAAATCTGCACTGGGTTAGTATACTAGCATATTTCCCATTTATTCCATGCTGTTCGTAATAGAAAAGGCCTATAAGACCATGCTTACTTGGTTATTATTGTTTTACATTTGGTATAATTTTGAAAAATCATAAAGAATAGAAATTAAATAGAGTTTTAGTTTTCTACATCTTAGTGATTATTCTAATCAGCGTTTGCAAAAATTTATATCTCAAACTATACATCATATTATCTATATAGTGAAAATATAATAGATGTTTTAATTATATATAAAATAATTATCTATTAAGATTATTAATATCTATTAAATCAAGATTAAAAACGATATTTAGACGTTCATTTGTATAAAATTTGTTTCTCTAAAATTTATACCTTTAAATGTGAGTTCTCAGATTGTATCTTTTGATAACTAACCAGTAGGCAATAAGATTCAACAGCGTCAACTACAAAACCAATTATTTATAGGCCCACCTTATATTCGGTCTATGGTACCTGTGAAAGCCGTAGCTGGTTCTGACGTCACAATCTGGTGTCCTTATTACGGATTTCCCATTGAGTGAGTACAATACAAAAGCTTATCGGAAAACCTATCTTTCATTTATTTATAGAGCTCAGTCTGCGAACAAATAGAAATTCGAACAAAACAAATCAGAGGAAAACGAACAATTGATTGGTCCAAAGTTTTTTGTGCCATATATCAGAGTGGACGACAGTTTTGATAGAAGCGTAAATCATTCGCTTTTGTTTTCCATCAACTCGACTTTTTCGTTCATTAATTTTTCACCGGCAACATGAAAATAACATTACTTTGGAAGTTTTCGTGGCACGTATACAAAGTTGTGTAATGCCCGCAACTTTCCTAACATCGTAATTTTTTATGTTAAATTCTTATAACTTCTTGAAAGTTGATGGCAAATAAAGCTTTTATTGATGTTTTATCTTTATTGGATTAAAGTATAACATATCTTGAGGTTTTTGGTAATGTTGATCCCTTTTTATTATAAATGTAATTTGTATGTACTTCTTTTAAGAGTTTTTTGTAATCACTAATACATTTTCATTGTTTTCTCAGCTTTGTCTTTACACTTTTCTTGTGATTATTGTAACTTTGAGTATATTTTATTTTAACAAAAATGTTTATTATGATAACAAAATAGTACATCAAATTGAAAGTGAGTGTATGGAATGTCATTTTAAGTAAAAAATTGATTGCGATAGGATACTCAATTAAATTCTAGTTAGTGAAACTATGTTATTTTACGAGTAAATGCAGATAACATTCATTGCAAGGTTCAATAATTTATCTGGTTACGTCTTGCTTATGTTTTTTTTTGATGTGCCTTATGTCAGATCAGTAAAATGGGAAGGTGGGGCAGGCAACGACCCACGATACCAGCAAGCGGACGGCCAGCTCGTCATCACCAACGTGGATAAGAACAGAGATAGAGGAACTTGGACCTGTTCTGTGCTCACACCTGGTGGAGAACTGGCTAAAAGGGAGGTACGATTACGAACTATATAACTAGAGGGTCATAAATAGTGACCTCTTTACTATAATGCAATTTATTTTTTACTTGGGGTTCTTCTATGATTTGGACAATGTTTTAGAGTGGGTCTTGTTATTCAATTTTAATTTGAGCTGAAATTTGTGTTTAACACTTAAACTTTATGAAGAGTTTATGTTACTTCAACCAATTTGATCTTATTTGTGGTAACTACTTATACATTAATTTATCTTATTATCCTAATGAAGGATTAGATGAAATTAATAGGTTATGGCGTTAAAATGAAATACTTAAAATTTACCCAACAGTTCGGCTTTGAAAGTGCGATATTAAAATTATTAATAATACAGATTTATTTTCATTAAAGGTATATATCTTAAAATACAAACATCAAGTTGGGTTTATTTGAATAAAGGCACTTAGATCCTATTCTGTCTCCTATTATACACCAAACATTTTTATTTATTTAGGCATACGAGTATAATAAGAATCTATATCATATCAGTTCACTGAGCGCAGCTATATAGTCCCTTGGCGTCCACCAGTTTTGTAACAAATGAAGCGAGAAATAAGTTTTGGTCAACTATACGAAATTACATATTGGATCAGCTTGGTCTTGTCTTGGGAGCATGTATGTGTAACAGAATCACTGAATAAAATATTCTGGAAAGGTCTACTATTTTATATAAGGATATATTCAATTGAAGCTAAACAGAATGGGTATATGTTAGTAGTAACCTGAGTTGTTAGTAACAGGAGCTTAATAGGTGGCAGAAGCTTAATAATTCCGTGAAAACGTTGGGTATGGAATCTGATAAATGTAGTTCCATGTAGGCATAACTCTGTGTCAATATTCTTAATTATAATTTTGTATGTCATGTGAAGCTCTCTTATATTTGGCCTTATCTCTCGAGGGATAAGGTCGTAATAATGTATTTTGTATGATAATTTTAACTACTAAAATGTGCATTCTGGGCACATTTTAGTACAAAATATAAATTTATCAGAAGATTCTTTAGAAATATCGATGTTTATTCAACGACCTCTATAAGTGACTCTCTCGATTCGAGACATGTCGCACTCGATTTCCAGTTGGATCAATTTAATGAGATATCGAAAATGCAATGTTTTTATAAAAACGATCAAAATTCCTATCATTTAATCGAGATCAAATCCACTAGGTGCTGATCACTGTTGTGTCGCCACCAGTTCTCTCCCCAGTTGTGTTTCCGCCTGGTCTAAGGGCTGGAGACAGAGCACAACTTACATGTAGTGTGACGTCAGGCGACATGCCTGTGTATTTCTCTTGGCTTAAGGATCAAATGCCAATATCCAGCATACTTCAGGTAAATATCTCCTTCTAAATCCTTATAAAATTAGGAACAACCGAAGTTAAATTAATCGAAACAGTATTGTTATAATTATAAATAATGTTATAATTATAATGTTACAAATATACATTCGAAAAGCTATATTGCTGATATACACGAAAGTATATACAAAAAATGTGATGGAAGATGAGTGGTAAATGTGAAGTGAAATGAGAACATGTTTAATTTTGTTATGGGTATAAGATAAATATTAAAAAAAGAAGAAGTAAAATAAAGAATACAAATTTTATAATATTAACACATTTTTACCTCAATCAAAAGTAGAAAAAAAGACTCATATTTACATAATCATTACCTAAATATCGTTAAAATATGCTCTTAAACCAGAGTTCACACATTTAGTTATATATATTATAGTTTAAGTTATATATCAATAGTTTTTTTTAGATGAATTGTGTAATTAATGGTGGTACGCGCACAAAAACAACTAAATACCTCAAAAATAGTCAGTTCAATAAAAATCTCTGGTAATATAATCGGTAGAGCTATCGTCTCGTTAATGAATGAGATTGTCGTTTCAATTTTCAACATTTTTTTATTTATAAAATAAAGTATTGTTACATTTTAGGTAGAAGAGCGAGGTGCTGAATTTTATAGTATGCTCATATTCAAAACATTGACTGCAGCTCATAGTGGTGTGTATACTTGTGTAGTCACCAATACTGCTGGCAAGGCCAATACTTCCGCTGAATTAGCTATCAAAGGTTAGTTCTCTAAAATATTTGCCATATACATTACACGTGATATTGTTTTAAGACTATAGTTAATCATTATGTTCTAATCAAAATTATTTACTCGTCTTTCTGATTCCCTTTTTTAAAAGCTATGTTAGGGTGAAAGCCGTGTTAGGGTCGAAGCAAATCTTACGGAAGAACCTTCAAGCGTCTCACGCAAATAGGCGTTATTATGCGATCCGTCAATGTGAGCATGGTTAATTAATGTCTCATAGTCATACTAGATATTTCCCGCTACTTCGCCCGAAATTGTAGCCTATATCACCGGCATATGATGTAGCTTAGCGAAGGTAAATTTTCATATGCATTATAATATCTTTTTCAATGCAGTTGCTCATAAAGCGCTATTTTTTTAATCCATTGTAAACACCGAAAGTGAGTATTTAAACACGTGTTAAATAAAAATATACTGAAATCCTTTACTGCACACGTTCTTAAAAGTATTTTTTTAATTTTTTTTTTGGCCGAGCACCATAGAAATTAAAAAAAAATGATGAAAATATGTCAAACTTTAGAGGCAAAAGTATTTCAAGGAGCCTAGAACGAATATTTTCAAATAAAAATGTATGATACGAAAACATGTTCAAATATCACGTTTAATTTTAACAAATAATTTTTACCTTTAATACATACTTAGTTTTATTAACCTATATATTTGTTTTATTTCCTCGCAAAAAGCATTGAAAAATGTCGTAAGAAACTTGAGCGTAAAAGGTTTTTCGAATTCGTGCCAATGAAAACCCTCGCTACGCTCGTATTTTCAATTTGGCCCTTATTCGTAAAACCTTACTTTCCGCAGTCGTATCTTAAATAACTATTTTATAATATTAATATAGATATTTGCTAGTTATGACGTTTTGCGACAGACGATACGCGACGCATCTTCCGTCAGATATGCACTGACCCCTTAGATTTTACATATTAGGTTCAAGCATGAATCAATTATTGAATACTTCTCAATAGCTTATCACCATTAAGTACTGGTTGGATTATTTCAAACAATAAAAACTTACGAATTTCATAAAGAACTTATGTCATATAAAATATTCCAAGTGAATGGCATGTGTTTTTGTATCTAATATTAAATATAATTTTAGTGCCTCCATTTTGGCAAATCGAACCCACTGATGCGTCTGTGCTTCTAAATGGATCTCTTACTGTGAGCTGTGAGGCGAGAGGACATCCTACACCGGCTATATACTGGACCAAATTTTCTGGTGAGTTTAGATAATTTTTATAGTTTTCATTAATATGTCTACGTCGAAGAGTCACTCAGGACCACAGAGGAAAATTGTTCAGTATGAGGACAGTAGAACGAGAAAAGAACGTAGAATTTCAGAGTATCAACTTTCAATTCATCTTTTATTTCATTAACTTGGGAATATTTATTTTAACAGTTTATGTCGGGGAGAGACTGGATTCTCAATCTAGGATAGCAAACCTATACTAATACATCTATTTTCGTTTTTTACTTTATATTTATCCTCTTTGTACGTGCCAATTTTCTATTAGATACTAGCTTGCTAGCACAAGTCAGCTCACTATTTAGGGTTCCAATTTCTAAAACTGGTCAATTTATTAACGAAATTATGTTTTGTCAAGATCCGGGTAAACTTTTTTAGGTTTATGATAAAAAAGGTATCTATATGCTGCTACTTTTGTAAATAGCTAAATATAAAAATGATGACAAAATAATTTCTTAATACTAATAATTTGCTGAAATAGCTTATTGTTAGAGAGTCAGCCATTTAAATTTTATATAGGTATACAGACTATGTATGTTAATACTTGAATTTCATTGTGTTGGTTTCTAATACAGCTTTAATATTTGTAGGCAATACGGAAAGTACATTAGGTGGAGTTTCAGACCCGGTGGTATTAACAAATGGATCTCTAAGATTAGACTCTGCGAAAGCCGAACATTCTGGGAAATATCGCTGTAGGGCTGACAACGGCGTGACTCCACCTTTGTCCAAAACTCTCAATATACACGTCAATGGTAAATATATCTATTGAACTTTGTTTAAAGAGCAAACAGGGGCAAGGTAATTAATTCTAATCGTGTGGTATTGGTTGATATATATGTGTCCAATGTCTTAAATAATTCTTGGAAGTAAATCTCTAATGAAGGTTTATTTGAAATGTACTATTTTAGGTTCCATATTTCAAAAGGTTTTTGTCCACCAATCTGTCCATCTGCATTTACAAATGTATCTAGTTGAAATTATCATTAAATACGCAGATATGCAATGCTTATATTATTTATTGTATGAACAGTATATTTTGATATCGATTTGTATTAGTCGTAAACTACATAAATATTAAATTGGAATAAACATTGGAATAAAGAAGGTAAGATGTTACGCAGACTCTTGACAATATAAAAAAGTTAATTTTCTACATTCATCCGATCAAGAATTAAAACCCGGGACCTCTGAGATGGCGACATTTTGAAATCAGCGTGCAAGTAACGAGGTCACGGAGACTATAAAAAAAAACTAAATCTTGTTGCTAAAATACGTTCTTGGCTGAAAATCTTTGAACACTTAGACAATTATACAACTTTAATTAAATTTCATACAAGGCATTTAGCAAATTTAGTTTCCGCTTAATATAAAGTATCCGGTTTTGCAATATATTTCTCTGTAAATAAATATTCTCCAGTATTCAAATATTCTCTGTAACATCTTCTATGGAGAACCTGCAAGATTTGTTAGAAACCATAAACTGTGCAATGATTTCGAGAACAATTTTATATACATTTCAATTTTCTATTTAGAACCTGCAAGATTTGAATCCCCATCGGTGAACGTAACAGCGAAGCTGGGTGACTCTGTCCGACTGGCGTGTGTGGCTAGAGGTGATAGTCCGTTGTCTACGACGTGGAGTCATTCAGGACGAGCATTACCTAATTCCGATTACAGGCGAGTAGTTTTCGAATGAATCTTTACAACAAAAAGTTTTTAATTAACTAGTAGGTGTAGTTTATCGTATTTTTCTTTTCAATATTAATTGATAAAAAGTTAATGGCTTAACCAAATTATTATTTCTTCTACCTAAGTGTTAATAATTTAGAGAAGATACAGTTGAAATTGATTGTATAAACTTCTCTACATTGTTATGTTGATTGAACTGATTGAGACGAAAATGTTTACAATTTCTATTTCTTTCGAAAACAATTTTCAAATGATACTCCAAAGAAATATAGTCTCATGAAGAAATTCCTTTAACCAACCAAATATGGAACGTAACACAATATTATTTCAATCGCAATATTGGTACGCAATCACATTAAAAAACCATAATATGTAATGTCTACAAAGTTGCTGGTCTTCCACTTTGCAGTCAAATACAATTAAATTAGATTGAAAACGATCAAGCGCCTGCAGATGACCACGAACCCTGCCATGGATTCAAAACGCCCAATTCTGACTTTAACTTTAGAACCCGTTTAAGAATTTAACTAGGGTGTGAACAAAATTTGTTATAGAATGAGCATATCAGAGACTCGAAGTGCAGAAGGATTGAGGAGTGAATTAGTCATAGAGCGAGCAGATAGGAGAGATTCCGGTGTTTACAGATGCCAAGCAACTAATCCGTACGGCCGATCCGATCACTTTGTACATCTAGCAGTACAAGGTAAATGTTTGTTTTACATTTCAGAAAGTATTAAGTAAACATGAGATTACAAGAGTTGTTTAAATTTATTATACGTACACAAACCCTTAAAGTTTTACCAAATCCTTGTTGAGGATCAGTTTTAAGCAAACAAGCCGAAATATAATCGATTTAGTTGGAAACTCTGTTAAAAATTCACTAGATGAACATAAACTGAAGTATCACGACCAAGATAACATATTTTTTTATATATCATAATAACAATATATAAGCAAAAGTGCACAAAATTGCACCTGTCCTATTAAATATTTTAAAAGAAGCGTTGATGTTTTTATTGTTTTAATTTGTTTTAAACAGAACCACCGGAGCCACCATCGGGTTTCAGAGTGAAGGAAACTTCTTCACGTTCAGTGGTGTTGCAGTGGCGACGGCCTTACGATGGGAACTCCCCAGTTCTTGGTTACGTGGTGCAGTATAGAAAGCATGATTCAAATACAGCGGATTCTTGGCGGGACGCATTCACGCAAAACGTGTCTGTTGCGATGCACCAAGTCGATGCTTACGCTGAGTATGTATTTTTTATCAAGTCTGATTTTATAATTTTTTTAGATCAATATATATAAATCTTAAAACAATACTAATATAGTGAGCATTTGTGTATATTTTTATGTTCTAGCCATACGCTTCGGAAAAAAGAAACAATATCAAACCTTACTAATAATATTAAGAAAATTTTCGAATTACCATCAGCCGTTTACAAAATCTTAATGAATTTCTTTAACTTCGACACAACGAACAAAGCATTTATTCCAATTTACTTTTGGGTAGTTCATAATTCTTATTGTTGTACAGGTATTTTTGTAACTTTGAGTGTATTTTATTTCTGACCATAGTAAATTAGCTTTATGTAAATTAGTGAATTAGCTCGAAGGGTAAAATTTACATGATATTATTATTTGTAATAGCTGGTTGTGTAAATAAGAATTATGTATATATTCATGTGTAACTCAATGCTGTTGTTTCCCAAAATGAATAAATAAATAAATATTTTAGGTAAAATTTTATACTCCAATTCATAAAAAAATTACTAACGAAATTTTGTGCAAGTGCTATGATGACTTAGATTGACCTAGCTAATGAACCATTATTTGAAAATGAAAGACACAAGTTCGAATAATGTTTATTTCTTCTTATTTATTACAATCTAAGTTATTTGTATTGCAAACAATTCTATAAATGCATCTTCGTTTACTGTCATCTTTGAAAGTAATTTTAAACGTTTTAATAAAACTTACTTATTTTTCACCATGTCACAGCCAGCAAATGCTCATTAAGTCCGTATGTGTATATTGACAGCACAGTTTGCGGCTGCGTATACTCGCACTCAAACAAACAATGTAACACAAGCCATTCAGTAGGGACCTTCTTCATTCACAATGCTTATTATCATATTGGAACGACATATTGGTACTCCTTATTACAACGAAATAAGTCCTTCCTTTCTCATAGAACTAAATAATTTAATCCGTAGATGTACTAATAGTAGAGGTTACATTTACGTACACGGTATGGTACACGTGCCATTTAGTAGAAATTTTCTTCTTTTACAATAATTGTTTACATATATGAACATTTTGATTTTTTTTAATTAAAACCCTTTCACATAAAACTGAAGGCGCTACAATATCAAAACCAGCTACAGCTTGTTTAGTCTGTGCGTGTACGCTGCTAGCACAGATGCATTTACGTACTCGATCATTGCTTGCTGTGACATTGAATGAGCCGTTTTTATAATAATCATTGACATAATATGAATGAGCGAAATTTTAAATCTCCTTAGTATATTGTTACAACTTAATAAATACCTCCTTTCTCGCAGAACTGAAGGTGCTACAATATCAGGATTAGAACCAGCAACAGCTTATTTAGTCCGTGCGCGTACGTTGACGGCACAATTTGCGTCTGCCCACACTCGAGCGTTGCTCGCTGTGACGTTACACGAGCCACCAGCGCGCTCACCTCTTAGTCTTCGAGCATCTGCGCCGAGACCATCGACTATTGAACTGGTGTGGCAGGTATTACTTAAAAGAGTACACTTTGCTACAAATACACATTCATATTGAACTGTGGGGTTAGGAAGCCTTACTGCCAAATATTCGTCAGCACTACCAGTACTGTGTCCATCGATTACAGTTATCACACTCCACTTCAGATGACTGAGCTAGGCATAAAAAACTATACAAGTAACGATTTTTTGGAATTAAGACCTACCTACAACTACAATCAACCATAGTAAATTCATGAAATGAAATTCGTATCTTGTAGTTAAGGCCTGTATATATGGACGTAAAAATATTTTTGATGCTTGCTGAAACCAAATACGTATTACCTTTAATTAATATTGAGTATTACGAATTCAATGTAAATGTTTAGCAATTTTTTGGAATGTAACGTAATATTTTTTAATCCTATTTTATATACGTAATTTTCAAATCCTATTTTATATTCTTAGAGACGTATCTTTTGCTCAGCAGGCCTACCGCGTAACTCGAAATTGACTTCAAGTTCATTGACATGGCATCAATCGAAATGCACTCAATTCAATATAATATTGAATATACTCACCGTAATAAACAATACACAATTTTAAATTTAATGCGATCGAAATTATTTAAGTAAAAATTGTATTGTTATGTTATTTTTGTAATATCATAGGCACCGCCGCCATCGTCTTGGAACGGCGAGCTATTAGGATACACGGTGTGGTGGTGGCCATCAGCCGATGGTACACTAGCTGGCGGATCAACCGTAGGCATGGAGTTTGCGACTGTACGAGGCCAAGTTACTAAGTACACCATAGAAAGTTTGGAGCATTACACACGGTAAAGATCTTGCTATGAATCGCATCTGTCAGATAATATACTACACTTCATTTTTGGCGAATTTAATGACGTTGTTAATGTGTTCAATCTGTGATGTGAAATAATTATATTTCATTGTAAATTACCTGGTAGCAAGATTTATGTTTTGTATTATTGCGGTTGTAAGTGTGGGTATTTACTATAATATTTAGTACCTACATAATTTATCGAGTTAGTTAGAAAATCATACTAATACGAAAGACATACTATTATGAGAAGGGATGCGATAAAAGTGAATAAATATCGATTGATGAAGTGCAATAGTACAGCTTCAGAAAATGTTGCTGTGGGAGGCATGACATGAAAGTGAAGGGATTAAGTGATGAGTTGACGGTTGCCGGAGAAGAGCGGAAGGACGGGACACACCGCGTCAACCACACATAGACTGTGAAAAGGGCAGCATGATGACGTTAATAATCTACCACCTTTTGTTATAGAACTTATTTCTTTTTTATGAAAAACTAGCTTTTCCTCGCAATTTCATCTTTGTTATATCAGTGTTTCCACTAGACTAATCTTATATGATTTCGATAAAAGAGGAGGTTCTCAATTCGACTGATATTATTTTTTATGTTCCAGAATCTCTTCGTCAGTGCGATTGTGACGATTATTTCTGTGTTTGATATTATATCAAAATTGGATCAGTAATATGAAAATATATACTAGTAGCCTTGTTATTTCTTTATATTGTTATTTGTTTACCAGCGTTTAATATGTGACCAAGTCCTAACGTGTATGTTTCGGTTGCTTCTTAGGTATTCTGTGTGTGTCAGAGCTTTCAATAGCGCTGGAGCAGGACCAGCTACTACCCCTGTCAATACACTCACTCAAGAAAGCGGTAAGTTGATAATTTTGTTTTTCTATGGTTGAAAATTTTCCCCAAGAAAAGGTCTTTTTGCATATACTATGCATAAACTTGTAATAAAATCTTTCTGGCTATACCATTTGTGTCAAGCTGTTTTCAATCAGGAAAATGTGTGATTTTTATTTGTTTTTTCGTACTGTCAAAATGAGTGACTCTTATTAAGAAATTCGATAATTTTTAAATTTTATTACAAAAAAGGTAAAAAGTAATGTAAGCTACGAAAAAAAAAATTGGTTACCGACGTGAAGCAACGTTTGCGTTGTGTTTCGTCGTGTGAGTGAGGGTACCGGAGGCCCAACCCCTCCCTATTCCCTTCCCTCTACTCCTCAACCCTTCCCTCCCTACGATCATATTCGTCTCTCAAAGGTCGGCAGCGCACTTGAAGCCCCTCTGGTGTTGCAGGTGTCCATGGGCGACGGTAATCACTTACCATTAGGTGATCCATCTGCTCGTCTGCCCCGTATCCCATAAAAAAATAAAAAAAAACTTAGTGCAGTTGCAGTGAGAGTAGTACAAATCTAGTTTAAGCGTTTTCGGTCCGAAAATTTAGATGTCAAAAATGCACGTCGCTCCGGTCGCCCTGTTGCGGATAAAATATATTAATAGTTACGACATATCTAGTAGTAGTTGTAGAATTGGGGATTGATCACAAAAAAGTTGTGGCGCATTTGAAAAAATGCTGGGTACACAATAACGTTGGACATTTGGGTACCTCACGAGCTCACTGAAAGAACTCATTTGTGATTCTTTATTACGGCGTAATGAAACCGAACCATTTTTTGAAAAGGCTGATAAATGGTGATGAGAACGTGTGAAAAAGGACATGGTCAAAGGTTGGTTAAGCTTCACAGACTGTGGCAAATTTTGGGCTAACTTGCAACAAGGTGATGCTTTGTTTATGATGGGATTGGAAGAGCATTATTCATTATGAGCTGTTACGACCAGGCAGGAACATCGATTCTGGACTCTACTGCGAACAACTGATGAGATTAAATCAAGAAGTTGAGAAAAAATGGCCAGGATTAATCAATAGAAGGGGTGTGGATTTTCATCACGATAACGCTAGACCTCACACATCTTTTGCTGCTTAGCAAAAATTAAGAGAGTTTGACTAGGAAGTGATAATGCATTCGCCGTATAGTTTGACCTTCAGATTTCCATCTGTTTCGGTCTCTTCAGAATTCTTTAGGCAGTGTTAGGTTAACATCACCCGAGGACTGCCAAAACTACTTGTCGCGGAATTTTGATCAGGAGCTCCAAAATTTCTATAGCAATGGGATCATGTCTCTACCTACAAGATGGCAAAAAGTTATCAAACAAACATACTTTAGTTAAATGTAACCAAAATAAACTTTATTGAAAAATGTTTTGAATTTTCATATAAAATGAGAGGAAACCTTTTTCCTTAACCTATTATATCCATTTTTTAAGGAATATTAAATTATATATTTTTTTTAAATATTATAACAACATTTAGGCTACGGCTAAGAAAAAACACTGTTAATTAAAAATATTATTGGTTGTTACAATAAGCCTCTAAGTTTGTAGCTATTAAACTCGATATTAAAAGTAATGAACGGAGATTTTTTTCAGTAAAACACTTTATTTCCGAAGTTGATATAGCAATATTTCATTTCAAACTAATGTTTGCGTTTACTTCGACGGATGGGTAATTTTCTCTTTCTCATTGAATGGCCTCGCGGTTTCATAGCGTTGTTTATTTATTTTTATATACAGGCACAAATATATATATTTTTATAACTTTGGTCTTAAGTCTGGACGTGAAGATAATAAAGAAAACGAAACGAAATCTACGCATCCAACAAGATAAATAGGGGGACGAATACAATTACTATAATCTACTATTATTGTAAAGGCGGTCTGTAAAGCCCTTGGTTACAAAATGGCAAATATATTACGTATTTTACAGTGAACGTATTTTAAAGTGCTTCATTAATACAGAACTAATACCGTTAGCAGGTGTGATATGTTAAAGTTCTCTTCCTTGTAATTCCTAAACTCGTATAATGAACATCACCCTTATACATATATAAATGGGTAATTGAAATGTGATTTTTGGTGAACACCGTGTTTCAGCAAAGTTATTTTTTTAATCAGTGCCCTCGGAAGGTCCTCGAGCCGTACGTTGCAGGGCTGTTTCTCCACAGAGTTTGAAAGTGGAGTGGTCACCGCCGCCCGCCCACGTGCACCGCGGAGCACTGCTCGGGTACAAATTGCTTTACCGACCAGAATATAGTGAGTGCGAAACATGTTTTTTACTAATCTAAACTTACTTATGCCATTGCTTTTTATTGGACAAAAAAAAAAAGAAAATATATATTACATATTTGGATAAAAACTATTTTATGAAGTGTAAATTACAAGTCTCTACAGATGACAGTAAATTTAATAATAAACAAATATATACATTATGGTGTAATAAAAATAAAACAATAATAAATCCATTTATAAAAACAAATATTTAGTAAAAGTAATGATGATTAGGCGTACATTCAAAACAGCGATGACGGTAGACAGACAATTTAATGGAATGAGAGATTTAAGTTGTCTACTTCAAGCTACTAGTATATAAAGACATTTTTACAAAAGTCGAAAATAACCGTATTCTGTCCAATTCCTCATCTTTATTTAAAAAAATACAAATTAGTATACCTACCTGAATTGCTACAAAGTAGATTACCAATTCCAAACTGAGTGATGGCAGTCGTTTGTTGGCAGCGGCGGACTGGCTGGAATGGGAACTGCGAACCGTGGGTGGCACGAATACGGGCGTTGGCGCAGAGGTCAAGCGGGTAGCGGGCGTCGAAACGCTTCTTCTAGCATTAAAGCCTCACACCAATTACACAATACAAGCGCTAGCGTATACAGCTGCGGGGGACGGTGTGCCCGCTAACCCTATACATTGCACTACACAACAGGATGGTTTGTTATTTAATTAACACAATTCATACTTTACTAAAATTATGCATTTTAATGAATAGATGGCATCATAGCAGTCCAATTGTCTATATTTTATTATTTACAATTGTATTAGTATATGTTTTGCTTAAATAAGTTATATTATTGCTTCCAACAACATTTTAAGTAATAAAATCTCGGAGAATCTATGGAATTAAAATACTTACGTTTTTCTTACACAGCACCTGGTCCTCCGGCAGCTGTTAAAGTAGTTGCCACATCGGTTACTTCATTGGCTGTGAGCTGGTTGCCACCGACTAGGCCCAACGGACCTATTTTGTATTATACTGTCTTCTACCGGGAACTTGGAAGGTCAGTTATTACAAAATATAAACAAAATCTGTTTATCTATAAAATTGGTCTATTTATTGTATCTTTTTTAAAATTTATAAAGTTAAATTTGGTAGGTTTATTTAGGGAAATCTTATGAGAGAAAACAAAAGACAATGATTTCTGGTGTTCATGCTGTGTTTCGATTTAATTTACAAATAGTTTAAACTTTACATCAAATAATCATTCAGAATATCCTGGCAAAGAAATAAATTCAATAGGGATCGACCACCACAAACGACAACTGTTCAACCGGAAGACAGCGACCAAGCAGTTGGTTTAGGCGGATCTACAGAACTTCGTTCACTATCTGAAGGTTCTACATACGAAGCTTGGGTAGCTGCTCACTCAGCTGCAGGAGAAGGGGAGCTTTCTGCGCCACAACCGGCAACCACGACTTCCAGAGGTACAATCGAATTTCTTAACTGTTTATTGAAACACTTGAAATCTATTTTTAGATTTGTTATTCAGTTTGGTTTTGTTTTTTCATATTAACGTAGTTATTATTCCAAAGTTTTTTTTTTATTTATACAAATGAATAAAAATATTTTAGAAATAACTATATTAATGTTACTTTTCAAGGGCTCATAATAGTAACATTTGATAGTAAGTTATGCTGAGTATTTGGTAACATACTTTTTAGATGCTCCAATGTCAACTTACTTACGACCATTTTTTAAGGAAATCTTATGAAATATTTATAAATATTTTGAACCTTAGCGGGAGCACGGTTACTCTCTTTCGGAGTCTGGGCGAGGGTACAATGTGGACATCCGCTTAGACTAGTATGTGCGTGGCGTGGTGAACCAACCCCTAGAGCGCGGTGGCTTCGCGGAGATAGACCAGTCACCCATGACCCCCGTACCCACCTTACACCACATGGCCATTTGTCTATTCATGGTGAGTTGAAGAATTAGTTTATTTACATACTTGAATCATATCCATCACGACATGTTATTGAATTTACAAACTTGTAATAAATGGTCAAGTGTATTTCCCATTTTGATTTAAATTACGTTTATATTTTAAATGAGTCCTATTAGTACATAATGGTTAATTTAAGTTTCGCGTAGGCAGAACGTGATAATTTTTATCCCTCTCTTCCCTGTTAGAGAAAATAAGCAAAATCCTTCTCCCCTGCAATAGCAGAAGCCTAGGCTGGTCATCGAAAACCCCATCTTTTGACTAACAAACAATAACAATACTTTATATTTTACACACGAAACTGAAACTTGCGTGACTTAAACAGAAGTAGATGGAACAACTAGCGGCAACTATACGTGTTCAGCGCGCAACGCATTTGGCTCAGAAGAAGTAACATACAGAGTGGAATGTGCGGCGCCACCGTCCGCTCCAACTCTCAACTTAGACCACGCCGCTCATAAGGAAGCAAGACTTACTTGGAAGACAACGCATCATCCTGCTGCTCCGCCACATGGTTAATTTTTATCTTAGCATGTTGCAGTACCAGTTGTTTTTAAAGTCGTAATTACAGTAACTCTATTTTATTTCACAGTGAATTCAATTTATTAGATTTTCCGCGACTTTGCCTGAGTAGTGTAGTTTTTATATCACCCGCATATCCACCTCCCCTTAATTGAAAGATTTTTTTAAGAATCGGTACAGTTATTTCGGAGGTTATTTAATGCAAAAAACACAAACAAATAATTAAATCTTTCAGATAAGACAGCAAGATAACATTCAGACAAGACAACGAAGCTGTAAAATAAAGGTTACTAAATTTCGTGTACGCAAATTATATAAAATCAAAAACTTTATAAACTTATCTTGTCTTTATTATATATTTGAAAAATTTTGCGTTCACAATGCTACACTGAAAATATCTTGCAATGCTATAACTTGTCTTGTCAAAAAGCATAATGCCATAAATCCAGAATATTTTCAGAATGTCTTTGACATGGAAGTCTTTGGATTCTTCCAGTAGTTCAAGTCTAATTTGACAATCACAAACTAGGTTTTACCATTTGGTGGGTTCGCATCCGTGACGATACTGGTGAAGGAGTAGAGCCGGCAAATCTGCGAGATGAAGAAAGGAGATTAGAGGCAGGTGGTGAAGCAGTAAGCGTGGTTTTGAGAGCATTGGCTTGTGGGGCTACTTACTCGGTGAAAGCTGTAGCACATTCACGTGCAGGGCCCTCATCTATCTCCATGCCTCTTCTGGTCCGAACAAAACCACCAGGTAAGTAACCAGTTTTAGTGATATACTTTCATTACATTATTGTATAATTTTCTAGAAAATTATATTTTTTTTATATCACTATTTCATTTGTGTCAACAAATTACATCTTACTATAGGTATCCAGTTTTTTATAAATGTTCTTCATATTAACTTCACATGTTTGGCAGATCGATATCTTGGATTTTACAAAGTATTCTTATCGAGTACTTTCTGTCACAGGCAAAAAAAAAATATCTTTTGATTCCTCTACATTTTTCAATCATGCTCTCTGGTTTTTATGATTTTTGATGTCATCCTCTGATACCAGAAGCCATGAAAATACGCGACCAATCTAATCATTAAAAGTCTCTTAGCTTCCCGACTACATCCTTTCTTTTTAAGTTAATAATATCTGTAAACAGTGCTAGTGTGGGAGGGGGGAGGAGAACCAGAAAGTTACGAAGATGGCGCTGAATCAGCTGTGTGGAGCAACAGTAGTGCGTTAGCTATAGATGCTAGACGAGCGGTGCGATGTGGCGCACGCCTCGTAAGGCTGCAGTGGAGACGAGCGGATGCTGGTGGTACTGCTTCTTGGAGAGATGCGGATCTGACGTCACTACACCACCATCGTGAGGTTAGTTACAGATAATAGTAACCATAATTGTACACCTGAATTTGAATACTGAAATTATTTTTTTGAAATTTTTAACATACTTTGAAATAAGTCAAGTAAATCCTGGACTTTTTGACAATTTAGAGATTTCTGTATATTCTATATCCAGTCTTTTTCTTGATAGTATTACACTATCGCTATTAGAAAACGATTCTTAATACTATACGTTTAACGAAAAAAAATGCATAATTTTTCTCTAAATTAAAAAGAAAAAAACAGATATTGATTTTCTTTTAACTTGTTCCGTAGTTACACGTTATTAAAGAAATAGGTGTAATTATACTAGTGTTATCGTAGTTATTTACAGAATTCAAAACATCGTTTGTCTGATTTAAAAGTAATATAATTGCTACCAATTTTCCTTAAATAATAAAGCAAGTGTGTCACATAAGCTTACTATATCTTTATATTAACTAAATGGGTTAGTTTGGAGCTAGGACGTATAATAAGTCACTACGAAGTTATAGGGAAGGTTTTGTTCAAAAATTTATACCATATTTTACTTTTAGACATTTATTTAAAAGTTTATTTAATGCTTATTTTTTCGAAAACTTAAATGAATGAATAAATGAAATAATCTATTTTATACATACATCACAAGTAAAGGAACAAAACATGATAAATTAACAGACAGTATTATTAGCGATCTTATTCCTAAAAAGCAATTTCCTCCTGATAACCTAAACATGACATACAGAATATGCTTAAAAATTGGGTAGACTATGGTGCTTTAAGAAGACCCTGTAATTTGTAATAATGTATTATTATTATATTTAATCAATATTGCACTTACAATGCTATACCAAAAAAATATTCTTAATGAATATTCATAAATTTACTTGATTGCTTCTTTGATTGCTTGGTTAACAGTCATACTCTCGTAATTTATAATACATTATTCACTTCCACATTGAAAAGAAATAAATGCCACACCCAAAGCATAAGCGCACTTCGAAATTCTAAACAAACAGTAACAAGTTACAAATTAGAACCTTTATTACAAATCCACACGAACCCCGCTTGAGGCGTCGCAACGTGTGTTTACATTTGTAAATAATCAACAAGCACAAAAGGAAACTCTGTCGAAGTTTGGAAGGTAAGGATATCAAATTTAAAAGTGTCCTTTTATAAATAAATAATTACTAATAAAAACAAATTCGACATTGCTGCAAAACTGTACCACGGTAATCCGATATTACGTGAACCATTAGAGACACTGCGTCATTAGCTACGTGGTCGCCATTCCAGAACCTTTCCACCCCAGTGGCCATGAATTCTAACCATGTGGCCTGCCCACTGCCATTTCAGCTGAGCATTTCTTCGAGCAATGTCAATAACGTTGGCCCTCCTCTTCATTTCTAATCAAATGATCAAGCTGAGTAACACCAAGCATTGCTCTCTCCATTTCCCAGTAGGTGAGGTTGAGCCTTCTTAAGAGACCCCTTATGAATGGCCACCTAATTACATCTATTCTATGCGTTTATTAGGTAGTGATTGGGGGATTAGCCGCCGGCGCATGGTACGGTCTCCGTCTGTGGACAGCTACAGAGTCAGCACGACACCAAGCTGTCTTGTATGCTGCCACTACAACACATTCTGGAGGTATAACATGGTTTGGTTGCGGAAGACAGAGAATATCGTTCGTTGACTTGTCTATATACTGATAGATATCGCAAACATTTTAGGGCCATTTTACAAGTGGCTAGATGCATCTGTGTGAGCGTAATAGCACTATGTTTGCGCACGAGTGAAATATATATATGTAATGCTGGGTCATTGTACGAAATTCTTTCTGTTCAAGCTTTAGTGAGGTTTCTTTAACAAAAAAAAAAAACAGCTTGATAAATTTGTCCTCAGATATTTTCTTGATCAGCTACTGTTTTATTAATATGGATTAGGTATGATTTAATAGACCTTAACCATCCATAAGGAAGGCCTGAGCCCCTGCAGTGGGGACGTAAAAGGGCTGGTGATGATGAGACCATTCTGTGTTTAGGTCATAATCAAAGTTGTGATATCAATCAAATATGAATAAATACTTTAGAATAGATTGAATGAGGTATATTATCGATTTATTTAATCAATATTGTCCACTAAGTTTAATTGCATACGTATATTGTATTTGAGTTTAAATATTTTTTAACATAATGGACCTTGGAACCAGAACGCCTTCGACGCCCAGTGGCATTTCAATCGGAGGGTAGTCCCAGCACCACGGTGAATGGCAACGCAGACGCTGAAAGGGTTCTGGGCGCTGTGTCACTCGCTTTCGCCGGACTGGCGACTTTAGCTGTCACTGCACTGCTACTAGTACTGATAGCTAAAAGAAGGTATGTTGGTCTTAAAGATAACTAACTAAAATTAGAAAGGGAGATATAATTTTTGGAAAATATCACATACATTGCTCCGATTCCAAATTAAGCGCTAAGCGCTTATGTTATGAAAATTTGAAACAACGGAAGCCACAGAACATCGAAACCTGAGACAACACAGTAAAGTTCGTTTTCTACACTTCACTGAACCCGGGATCTCAGGGGTGACGCCGCTGTGAAACCGGTATTGTGGCCACGCGGTCTCTAAGACCATCGGTCACGAAGATTTATATCAATTTGTTTTTTTTTTTTCATTAACAATAAAAATACGATTAATAAGTTATGTTCGTTTGTAACATCTAATCAGAATTACACACAGGTTCGCATCTCGAAATTGCGTTTATCTGAATCTGAACCTAACTCAAGCAGAGGATCGGTATCCGAATTTTTTATTATAATATTCGCTACATTTCTATTATAAATGAATATATAAATATTATATAACATCACATATATTACTCAGATTCAAAGATGAGTAGCTAAAGCTCCCGTATTATAGAGTATCTGAGACAACGAAGGTAAGTACCACAATATCCAGACCTTAGACAATGTAGAAAATGGGCATGCAAACCGCTCTCCTACATACGGAGAAGATTATAAATAAGTGAACAATTTAATACTATTGTTATCAGTACATTATGGCCGTGTACTGGTCAGTCGGATGAGGAGACTCGCCGTTGCAGTCACTCCGTAGCCAGCACGGACAAGTCAGTGTGTCCGGAGCAACAGAATATTAGAAACTGTCAACATGATTATAAACATGACAAACTGTCGCCAGCGTCGGGTAAGTAATTAAAATAATAATACATAATTAAAGAATATTGTGTGTATAAATATTAAACTTTAATTATCTGTTGTTACAGGAGTTCTAATAAAAAAAAAAACTATCAGATATTATTACATAACTATTTAATATTGTCTTAACGTTATATTAGTTGCATTATTTAATCATAAACAAGACACTTTTTATTTATTTGCATAATAAGGCATTAATGTATTCAATATCGGACACTAGATAAACTATGTCCACTAAGAAAGCTATAAATTGATATCTAGCCTCGCGACTCTGTAAAAATTTGAAAGCGAATTCGAATTAACTCAGGTGTCCTAATTTACTGCAGATGCGGCATTAATTCAAGCTTGAATTTGTAATAACGTTTCATGGCATAAGAAAATTGAGTTTCGAAATGACATATAAATAGAATATCTAAGACATGTATGAATCAATTAATATTGTTTTGTATTTTTGAATCAACAGAATATCTACACTGTGAAATTCGATAAATGACGTGAATTCTGGCTTCGATTTTTACAGAATCGCTCTGCAGTTCCTTTATTTTCATATAAAATCGTGCTATCTAACCCCAATATACTGTTTCATCGTCAGACAAAACACAATGTCGCAGCTGATATATTTATTATCGGTAGAGTACAAAGTCGGCAACACAGTCACTACATTGGCATTCAATTTAGTTTGAATTAGTTTCAGTAAAACTGCACTGAACAACAAATATTTTAATGAAAGATTGAAACCGATGCAAACTAAATTGTATCCAATGTAGTTACGCGTATGTCTGCAAATCTTCTAAATGAGCCACGTAAATCATACCAGTTACTAAAAGTAGTGATGTCTGTCTCGCGCATAATAGAGGAACTTAAACATTTTCTTCATTTGTCACATAGATGTATACGAGATTAGCCCTTACGCGACTTTTGCTGTTGGCGGAGAAGCAACAGCCGCGACACTCGATCATACACTGCAATTTAGAACTTTCGGCCATCGTGATAACGACGCTCCGCCGCATAGGCCCTGCAGAAAACATCCACAGAGGCATCGAGACAGGACTGATGGTATTTCGAAAATTTCTTTAAACTCTATTTTATAACTAGCTATTTTCCCGCGACTTCGCACGCGTAAATTACAGCCTATGTAATGATGGTTTTAACCATTTTCTGGTTCTCAGTGAATCTTGTCGCAAATGTGCTTTATAGACATGTAAGAGTCAGACTAGATTACAGTGCAATAAATGGAACGAGGACCTTTGTGCAATATGCAACTTAGAATTTCATATGTAAAAGACGTTTAAGTTAAAATTATAATTAAATATAAATGTTTAAAAATTGTTTTATTCAATATACATTATTTTAGTATCATAAAATAACAATAAAATTAAATAAATAGTTATTTGATAACAATAAAATCTTACGCTCAGTACTTAACACCATTAGACAAGCCTAGCGGTGCCAATTGGCACTCGGTATTTTTTCCAAAAGTACAAATCAGAGCAACATTTTAGGTATTTGATATGATTAAGAGAACCTGTAACAACAAAATATTGAAATATTATAGAAATCTTAAACATTTTAAATTTCATCGTAATTGTTTCATAGAAACAATAATGAAAGTCGAAAACTACGCCAACGGTTCGCAAAACTACGGCGGGAGACCTTGTACTGAGAAGAACCGGCAAAAAGCTCAGCAAGGGCTGCTTTTTTTTCCCTGTTTAATTTCACTCAGAGAAATCTTATTGGAAAGTCACTTCATTAGACTATAAAGTCACTTTCCATTACAATATCAGAAATAACAAGACAAATCGATATAAGAATAATTTTAATTATACAGTCGAGAAGCATCATTCCGACTGCGAGTTGCAGCAACTGAGTCGGTATGAGAAGGTTCGCCCGCGTCATTGTGCTGCCACCTCCTACTGCGTACCCCTCTCCCATCACGGTAATGTATTTCATAGCTCGTACGAATTAACATGACACCTAAGGGTCTGAGGAATGAAAGTTGCGAAAATTTCAAATCGTCCATATTACTTTCTTAAAAGCATTTCATGTTATTTCATCTGTCATATCCTTATTTAGTTGCATCATAAATAATCGAAAAATGCATTTCTTAAAAGTTGTATTTTGAAAATAAATGAAATTTATTTTTTGGAGAAACAGAATAGGCTTTCTGCTGTCATGTAGTAAACGACAAGTTTTTAGCTATTTGCCATTAAAAAGTATGCGTTTCAGGTTTTGTAAATAATAATTACTGCATTTGAATGCTGATTTGAGTGACATATGGGTGACACTCAATAGTTCCTTACTATTGAGTGTAATAATAATGAAAACAAATATTTATATCCATATATCAGTAAACATTTATATATGAATGTATAATAATATATTCTGAAGCACTGTAGTCTCAGGTGTTTATTAAAATTAAGATATCATAGGATGAATACGGAACAACCCCGTAAAAATCTAATTTCAGAATTAGTATTTGCTTACCATCGTCTAAAAATTGTTGTGTTCGATACGAATTCGACTAACACTCTATTACTTTTTATGCAATGGGAAGGCATAACTATTAATCAACATGCTTTCTTAGGGGGTGGCAGCGGCAGTGCTGGTGGGGGCGGAAGCGGGGGAGGTTTCTCTGAAGTGTATGCTGGCGACTCCAGCGCCGAGTCCGGCCCTGGTTCTTTATCGCCGCGAACACATCACGACCACAGCTAGCGACGCAACCACAGTCGGACGTCGTCCGAAGACATGTAAAGATTAACTGGGACTAAATCTGTGGTACACTCATCAATTATGTCGTGTAATACTTGGTGGCGTTGCAAGACCCAAATGTGAAAAAACGTCATTTTACCGGCAATTATAGTCATTTCTTTATTTCTGTAATTTTGCCAAACTTTTTGTGATACGAGATCTTTTGATGATATATTGATATGAGTGAGAATAAACCTAACCCAACTGCAATGTGACGTCTGATCAAATCCTTGTCGACCAAAATTTTGACTTAGGTTGTACATTTATTTACACATAAGAGTTTGGCACACATACCTGAGCAATATTAGCCACATAATATCTATTTAACAATAATGATGATAACTCCAAAGCAGTAATTGAAAACTCTTTTGTAAATTCATTTCACGGTCCTTCAAGCAGTATATAATGGGTAGATATTTATTTTTTGAAATTAGATAATGTATAAGTAATTACGCCCCTCGCGGCTTAACCAATGATTTCCGAGAGTGTTAACAAATGACAAAAAAATAATTAAATATTAATAAGAAAGGATGTTTCCTAACCATTACAATAGCGCTATCGAGAAGTAGTTTTGAAAAATAGTTACAATGTTGACAGTATCCTTCGAATTTATCTTAATGAAAATTGGTGTTAGTATTGATCGATGACGGTGACAATGATACTATTGTCCATGACTGCGTCACACGTATTAAAGATGTTTATGAGTATGTATTGAAAAATATATTACTTATAAATATTATTAAAAACGTCAATATTTGAAATTGTACAACAATCTACATTGGTCAATAACTGTATGATAATACTATACACAAGTCTATAGTTCGACAAATTCTAAAAGATACATTGATATAGCGATACTATCATATATTTTTAATTTTAATATGTCATTGCAATAACACTTTTTTGAAACACTTTTAAATTAGATATAACTAATTGGGAAAGTAGTGCCAAATTTGTAACTATACCTAACTATAAAATATTACACCAAAAAATTTACTTTTCAATGAAAGGTACCTATCTCCGGATTATACAGCAGAAAATATTTAAATTTTTACCGTGTGCGCCGGGCGGCGGCTTCAGTCGGATATACTTAATTATTCATACGGGATTTCAAACCGCAACCACGTTTTTAATGGTTTTTTTTTTCAGCTGGCAAATATCGGGGGTGGATTGTAACAGTCGCGCCAATAGGAATTTACTTTTAAATTACCCTGAATAGTTCTTTTAATTTATTCTTAGCAATAGGAAAAATCATTGGTGGTATCACCTAAGTGTACCTTTCATTTTCGCAATTTAGATGGTAGTTAGAACAGAAGCACGCCACCTTGACTTAAAAAGACGAATGCCTACAATCGATTTACAGTTACAAAAATAAACTGTAATTTTAAACTATACAACTCTCATGGATAATGCCTTCCATTCTATAATACCACATTGTTTCCAATAGCAGTAATTAAAGAAAACAATAATTAAAACAAATGACACTGCCTATTATAAAAATAATGACGATTAGGTATTGAATTTTTCACACTTAAAACTGGTTAAATGTTAAACTTTTGATATGTATTTATTCCTTAAAAATCGACTGCCAAATAATAGTAATAAATAATAATAAGCTTCTCCGTATACATAACATAATTATACTATAATCTCTGTTTAGAATGTTACTATTAGGAAGGAATCTTCTACACTATTTCATGGGATAATTGACTACTTGACAATTATAACAATTTATTGTGAAAAATGTTGGAAGTAGTCACCTATACGTAAACAATAACTACGTAGTATTTTATTTTATAAGAATTTGTCGGTATATTTCAATTTTGCAAAATTCTATGGATTATAGGAACCAGATGCCGGAGTATCGTGCAACGCACAAACCTCTTTTCTGTGTTCTGTGGTGCGACGTCACATTTTAATAAATTAGACATCAACATTGTTGCAAGTGCACCTTAACTAAATATATGTTTATTGAAATGTGACGTCACGGCTCAAAATCTCACGTGACCGATTGTTATTGTGGGACAATCTCAATTAATGAATAAAAATATTTTTCAGAGAAATCTCATTGTGATTTAATACAATCATATATAAGTTTTAAGATACTTTACCCAAAGACAGACAATCGGCCCATTATAAGTATGTTTTGTAACTTCACTAATGAACGGGACGGTACGGCAAAATAGGTTTTATGGCGTAAAACTTTCGGTTCTTGTTGTTTATCGATAAAATTTTTACATATGTAATTTTTGTATACAAAAGTACATATTTAGTTGATAAGTATGTGAAAGAAACGAAAAATTTCGTTTCTATATCAAAGTAATAGGAATCTAATAACAATTGCAACAAGGATTAAAAATGTTTGAGTATGTCAAGTTCTTGTCGTGATGTCTTGGTAGTGATGATTGAAGAAGTAGGAGACTTCATATATGAAAAATAACAATTAACAATGTAAATAAATTAGTTAGACTGATATTTAATATCTTATCTAATTCGGAGCTTAATTTGTAAATAAGACGTTTGTAGATAATCATCAATCAGAACTCTAGTCAATTTTTATTGAATGTTTCTATGACAATATGATTGTAACTTGTACATAGTAAAATTTAAGTCATATACTTATGTGTCAAAGTCAGGTTGATGTAAAATAAATATATTCGCCACGGCAATTTATTTTGTTTTAATTAGAACCTTTAAAATTTCTTTAATAAAAATCCTGTTACATTTCTAGTGATTTTAAAAATGTCACTGTTGAAATTCTGGAAGAATTATGATTATCTAACATTATTGTTGCTGGCATTAATCAAGTTTCAATATCTATCTCCTATATTTTAGATGGTTTCGAGACTTATTCTATGTTCACTAATAATAGTATCATTAGTTAAATTGATCACATAAACAAATTATAGGTACTCAAATTGCTAATGTTTGTTAAAATTATCAATAAATTTTGAATTTTATTTTCACTAATAATAGTATATAATATAATAAAATATAGTATAATAATACATATAAATATGGAGTATCTGAGACAACGAAGGTACCACAACACTCAGACCCGATACAATATAGAAAACTTTTGTATTTTCTACATTGACCCGCCCAGGAATCGAATCCAGGACCTCAGAGACGCGACACCTTGAAACCGGCGTGCGAACCACTCTGCTACGGAGGTGGTCAAACATTATACCAATGCAATTTTTAATAGACTTTTTTTTAGGTTTAATAGAGTTCTCAGGTTTGGACTCAGTCAAAATCTTTATTAAGGAACCTGCTCGAATCGGTATTAATGGTATAAGTATAAAAGAGAATAAACTACCTTATTAACTATTCGCCTTAGCTAAGTTAAAAAAGTCACTGTTCCTACATAATATACTGCCCTAAACTAAGTAAGTTTCCCTGAAAAAGGCACAATTGATAAGGGCCCAACACAGAGTGGTAAAGGTGAATAAAAGGTTCTTATTATACGTGGACACGCAACAGTGACTTGGAAGTTTTCGTGACAGTGGAATATTTCGTTTTTTTTACAATCATTACTTAATTATATGTAGGTGGCGTATAAACACATCTAATAAAGATCATCAAGGATTTTGTTATGCAGCAGTGCATGTTTACATATTTGCCAATGTTAAAAGTGCTACGCTCTTCTTTGAACTTAACCTTTGCAATTCTTGGTCATGTTATAGGTACTGTCTTATTTGTCTATTCCATTTCCGTAGACATTGTCCTCGTTGTAAGTTATAAGGAAAGCACGCACTTTTGTTTGTTTGTGAAAGAGTCAGTTCTTAAGAAATTCCTTACTAAGGATATAATAATGACTATATCAAAATTTATAAAGAGTATTTTTTATTGTTGGGTTGAATACGCTTTGCAACAACTAAACCACTATTAGATATAAATTCTTTCACTTATGGGAGTAATAAATAAATTACTATTAACATTCATAAGATGATGTCATAAAATCGACTTACATTTATCTTCTTTTTCACAATATGGCGTCTGGTTGCAGCCATATTGAAAGTTTTTGTGATACTTGTATAATAAAAAATTACATCAATCTAAGTACGAATCATTAAAGCCGATGTAACCATTACCTTGATCTTAAAAGTGACACGAAAGAAGAAATATAGGCCGATAAACACATCACCCTTGCGAAATCTAGGGAAAATAACTTAAATTGCTTTCGAGAGGAATTACTTTTGACCTCAACTCGTTATTTCAACGTGCTTACTGCTGATCTATCTAAAAGAAAACGTTGTAACGGAAATTCCTTTGAAATTCCGATATTGGGATGCCTGGCACGCCTGGACAAGAATTCAGGATCACGCTGCTAATAATATCTGGAAGCCGTGAATTGTTGTTCGTGGATATAAAATTATTTATTTTAAGATACAAATTTAAATAAATAACTTCCTAACTTCATAAGGATAATCTCGTAAAAGAAGGAAATATTGTAAGCAATTTCATTGAATATTTTAAAATTCTTATAATGGCGTTGGCATAACTGATACGAATATATGAATAGATAGGTATTTTATTGTATACCATAATAAACAAAAAATAAATAAATGCATATATTACAGAGGATTTCCCGTGATTCGACAAGCTTAGTTACATTTTACCAACTGTCGCGTGATTTCTAACATTTAAATAGGCAATATACGTCCTTAATATTCGAGTACCAACCTATGATGTGAATATTTTTAGTTCAATTTTCATTACAAATATTTTTCAGTAGAGCATTATGAATGCAAAATGGGTCAAGTATAGTAATTAGAACAAATTTTCATCTTTATCGAATGTTTAAAGAATTTGTAAAAGTATTTCAAACGTGCTGTAGTAGCAAAAAGTAACAAGTGCTTGAAAAATCGTCAGTCCTGTTAGGTCCTGGGTAGCTCAGTGGTTAGAACACTTTTCGCACTTTTCGTAATCCGGGATAAGGCGGACTTTTAAGCATTTTTCATAAAAATAATATTCAATGAAAATGAAAGCAAAATTGATGAAATATAATAATATGATTTGAATGTTTTTTTACACATTTTCAGAGAAATATCAGGATAGCTCAGATGAAAGTGGAATGGAATTAATTTCTTAGTAGAACTATTAACAGTTATAATTGAATAATTTTCTTTCATTACAAACATTAATAAGCAGAAATTTATACTGTAAACGTTCAAGGTTAGGGTGGGGTTCATTTCACTCGATTGGATTTAGCATAAATCTTTGTTTCAATAACAGTACGAAATTTGTAGAACATTAGCGAGAATTTTCAGGACCCTTTAAATTTACTGTAATCGAGAGACTTTCATAATTTTCCCTGCGAAATTCAATTTGGATTAATGCCGCTTTAAAATTCGACTTAATTGAATATTGAAATAAAGTCAACACAGTTTCAATTAGCGCTAGACTTAATATGAAGTGTGTCAAATTTTTAATATCGTAATATCACAATAATTATAATTCATTTTATTCTACGAATAAATCATATTTGACTATATATTTCGATCGACCCTCAAGTTATAGTACAGTACTAACCCTAGTAATATGTATTAGCACGGACTTAATAAAATCGTTAGAAAATCAAGTAGACTTACGGTGTTGACTATATCATTAGCTTTTGAAATAAAATGTTAAATCACTACTTTTGCTTTCATTGGACAGACTCGTGTATAGAAAAAGTGTATCCACAAAATTAGATACAATAAAATATTTTTTACAGTAAAAATGAGATATAATGTGTCTTTAAATCATTTTATAGAATATTCTGTTACCGTGATATAAATTACTTTTGTATTGCGATACATTTCTTCTTATAAAAATAATATGTATTATAGTTAAATTAATATCTAATAACATAGATATTTATCAGTAAACAAATAAATTGATTCGTAAATAGACAAAGGAACTGATAAAACATTGTTAGAAATCTTACCTTAAAAAACTACTAAAGGAAATATGTTACAATTTTATCTCATGCAATCTAATTTCAATATGCTGAATTATTTTAAATAAAATTCTGATTTTGAATAAAGAATTGAATATTTAAGTGAAAAGACAAGAAAGGACGACGAATAGATACACTAATAAGATAGATTAAAAGAAAAGACCAATTAAGCCATAAAATAAAATTTATTCAGATAAATATCTAAAACAAGGAACAACATTTTGTGTCTACATCCATCATGTGACTACAACATAGTGTTTTAAAGCTCGCGTGTAAGCATCTGTGTACTACGAATAGCAGCTTTGCGTTCGTTTATCTCCTGCAACATAACTACCTGAAGTAACCTTCTCCTTGCAGGAATAACTTAAAGGCCTCAGCTATTTTACTCGGCTGCTCCTCCAGCACCATACCGCAGTCTGAAATGCTGAACCAGGACGTTTTCGCAGGATCTAATCGTCCATTGAATGTCACCGTATCGTCAACATGAGGCGAAAGTGCTCCAGTCACATTCAAAATAGGCACCTTTATAGTGTTACTGTCTCTAGCTATTGCTAGATCATTACGCCTCAAATAAGAATCAATAAACATTGATAGGTTAATCGGATTCACGTGGGAGAAACATTCTTTGTAAACTTGGGAGAGGTCGTGATTCCTGTCTTCGGTGCTACGACCGAAGTGATGCCACATTAGATAATCGAGTGCTCCTTGTGTCATGCCACTTGAACGGAGCTGTCTAGTATTAATCTTTTGGTAAAGCCACTCCGTCCAACCAGCCTGGGTAGACGTACAATTGACCAGCACTAAAGCGTCAACTTTCTGAGGGTTTGTGAGGGCGTAGCGCGCCAAAATATTAGCACCAGCTCCCACTCCGAAACCTATGAACGATCGAATGCCAAAATGACCGAGAACGAAGTCGATTTGAGAAGCCAAACCGTCCATACTGGGATAGGTGAAATCCTCAGGCAACGAGTGGGCGCCTTCCTCTTGCCCTGGTGCATTGATGTGGTAAATGCAAAATTTATCTAAAATAGCTCTCATTTCGACGAAGTTAAAGAATGCTTGAAAATTGGCGGCATAATTAAGGCCAAGGTCATGGTAGGTGATGATGGCGTGTTTGTTGCGATCTCCACGGACCGCTACCAGGATGTCCCCGCGGGATGTCCTCACCCTCTCTTCCACGCATGCGCCGTCGCTTTGCAATCGCCTGTCCGAAGGAAAATGTAATTGGACGCTTTTCAAATCATCCTCCAAATTGTCCGAAGACATCATATTCAACAAAGCAATATTCTCTTGTATCGATGAAGGCATTTTCTTATAACTGTTTCTCCTTTTATTGTAGGGCCACTATGGTCTATTACGTATGTTGTTCCTTACCGGCTTATTTTCGATAACAAACCAACCGACCTCTTGAATTATCTTACTTCCCTTGGTTAATTAACATAATCTATTAGCGGGTGTAAGCGAAGTCGTGATCTCTTTTATTTCCATTACACAACTTTTCGTATAACTAGTTACTTAACATTACGTTAACTATATTTTTTGTCACTGAATCACTATATTGTCACTTATTGTTAATGTTTTGGGGCAGTTTTACGGCAGGCAACGTGTTTTTGTGGGAATGTCGTAGGAAATGGTCAATAATGAATAGTTCGAGCGAGCGTGAGTCCCACAAAGCGACCGACTCGGCACTGTTCGGGTGCCGCCGGTTAAACTCGGGCCCGCAATACTGAACGCTCTTGCACGAACTTCGTTCTGTACCGGGCGCACATGCGTGAACCGTGCGTCGATTTTTATGACAGTGAATTATAGTCCTTCGGTCCACAAACTAGAATCTTATAGCTAACAAAGTCCTCACTTTGATTATGCCGTATTACAAGGGCTATTTGCATATTACCATTTAGTGAAATTATTATTGAGTAAAAGTAGGAAAGGAACTGACCTTGAAATAAATTACGTTTACTTACACGAACATGGCAAAGAACTACATTTTTTCGATAAATGTAGAACTAAAATTATATTTTTTTTTGTGAATATTTTGATGATAATAATTAAACATAATGGTACAAAATAAATACCGATATATTTCTAATGAAATATTTTAAAAGTCAACATTATAAAATCAAATCAAAGCTTTATTTGTTTTAACATATGGTAATGACAGTTATTAAATTCAAATGTGATCCATAACATGTCTATTAATAAATAGCGTCGAAATATTTAATTGTAATTATAATAATAAAAATGTATAAGCGGAGCCTTCAGTTTTCGAAATAATTCATATTTCTATCACCAACATTCAGTCGGTACAAAATATTGTTCAGACAATTAAAAGAAATTATTTAATTTATTTTATATCCCGTTTTTAACTTTAAATAAAAAATACTCATTCATATCAGAGATGTTGAATGACCGTGGAATGAATGAAATAATATCTCAGGCGAAGTGATTCACGAGAGTAAGGGACAGTGTGGGATTACGGATACTGGATAAACGCAGACATCATCCTACCGGCTTAAAATAACCCCCTCCGCGTTTCCAAGTCACGTTTGCCGCGATGAATCCGCCATCTTTAGTGCCCAAACAGTCGTCACTGTCGGAACTCGCGTACATGTTTCAGGATCAACTATTTTGGATCAATTCTTACAATTTTTCTTTTACTAAAAATGTTATTAATGACGTATTAGGATGTCAATCATCTGTTAAAAATAAAATTATAACTTAAATCGAGTCATACCTAACCTATTTTTTATGTTATGAATTGTTGAAAAGCAATAAGGGTGATTGCGGATATATTGGATGATGATGTTATATATTTGCGATCTTTGTGGGGAAAAATAGACCAATCGCAATTACCTCAGGATGTTCGGAATTACTCCACATGACGTCCGTAGGTTTTGAGTTTTTATAAAAAAGATTTTTTTAAAGAAAAAATATGTGTAAAGTAACAACCAAAGGTTAATTATTAATAATCATAGACTGATTAGCATTTATATTTCTACTTTTATCAAAGGTTTTTTTAGATATCCCCGTAATCACCTCACTCTCCTAGATCAAGTAAACGAAAGATAACTTGACATATTGGAGACAAAAATTTACACCCTAAACCGTAACAATTGATTACGAAGAAATTGCTTTTACTGTTTTATTTATTCCTCAATTATATTGCAATGTATTTAGAAATACTTTTACTATAGATCCAAGAAGATCAATAGTTTGAGAAACAATATTGGCTCTAACTCTTCAGATTTATACCAATGCTAATATAAGAAACGCCATTAGAGCGAGATTTAGGTACTTTTAACTTAGAAGTCACCCAAATCTGTCGCCTAAATATATAGAATTCGCCTGAGGTGAAAATGCATTTTACCATTGACTATAAAGTTATGCATCGTCTTGCAATAGGCATTTGCGTAAAATAAGTCAAGGAAATAAAGGGAGTTCATTTGGAAATAAAGTAAACTGCTCAGGCGATTTTTAATATCATGCGTTTATTGAAAACGGGTGTAATTGTGGTTACGAAGTAACGAAATAGAGATATTTTTCATTTGCGCTAAAGTTCTTTGCCACGATGGAACTAGTTCGGTCGTTGATGATATTAATTTTACCTTGATATGTAATTTAGATTACTTTTGAGGTTTATGTTGATTCTTTTATCAATTGGCCATATCGCTTCATTAACTGCAATTCATACGTCGAATCAATACCAGGCACACAATCTTACGTAATTGTTCCAAGGAACATTGGGAAAACTCAAGAGTATGGGAGTGAGAGGTCTCCTACTAAAGCTTTTCCAAAGCTACCTCTATGACAGAAGTCATATGGTTGCGATTAACGGATGGTTTAGTGATGAGAAAATATTGACGTATGGCATGCCACAGGGAAGCATATACGGGCCAACTCTCTTTCTCATTTATATAAAAAACCTCTACAATATGAAGTTGAGATCTGTAAGTGTGTGGCTTATAGATAATATGCTTACGCTTAATATCAGCAGAAGCAAATATTTCGCGTAATATACATATAATACAGACATACACACACACACGCACTACTACACACTCATTAACACACTGTGGATACATATTTATTTTGTAATTTAAAATTTTATGTAAACCTATTATCCTAACCCATGAATACGGAGAAATGGTGATTTGTACTACGGGTTCTATATATCTTTATCATGCATCAGTTCCTCTAATGATGGGCTTTTGTTTCTTGTATTTTTCCTCTAAACAGTACCTACTGTAATTTTGAAAATAAATTTATTATTATTATAAAAATGCAAATAAGAGTAGTTCCAATTTGGACGTTGAAAACAAATATCTTTAATTATAAAAATTGTTACCAGAACCTATATCTAGACTATTGAATATAATATTGAAAAACTACCTATTTATACATCTGTACCTATTGTATAACATATTAAATTATATTGTATTGTCTGAGTTATTTACAGAACTGAAAACGTCACGACACGGTTGTAACTTAGTTTGTGCTCAGAATTGCTTAATAATAGTTTTTTTTTTAGTACGATTCATTGAAACAGGACTCACGACCAAATTATATAAATATATTAATGATATATCGCGGACTGTACCGTTGTCTGTCGAGCGCTAACTCACGTATCTGTCAAAACAGTAGAAAGGAGTACCATGAACTTTGCGATGCTCTGATACCGAAAATTAGTTTTAAGAATAAAGTGAGAATTATTTATTGGTTGAAATGTCGTCATATATCTGTAATCGATTAATTGAATGATTTATTAATGGTAAAACTATTAACCGAACTAACGTTGTTTCGCCTAACTTTAATTTGGAGCACATGTTTTATAATTTTGTAGTCCTGTGCCCGCGTCAGTCTTCAATAATTTTGTTTCAAATTTAAAAAGTTTATTTTTCGTTCTACTGCTTTTCTGTTATACAAACTTCAACGTCACGCCGGCGCCGCCATGTCATATACTTAAATTTTATTTACGCCCCGACAGTACTGCACTCGACGAAAAATTAGAGGTTATTTTTACACGACTGCCCAAAAAAGGAGTGTATTTTGTTTAAGATTAATGTATATATGTGAGTTTCTTTATTCCACCCTAACTTTTGTATGACATAACGGATATGAATGTAAAGGATATTGTTAAAAAATATATAGCTAAATAGCTAGCGTTATATATATTTAAGGCGGATGTCTAACGTCATTCAAAAAACATGAAAAAGCAACATTTCTTCAATTGGAACAAAATGAATACTAAATTAAAAATATTTATGAGTATATTATAAAAACTTAGTATACGTTTACTGGTCACAAGGAATAAAATAAAAATAAATATTAAAAAAAAACAGGACTGTCAAAATCGAACTTAAAAATAAAGTTTATAGTTTGGCGAAATAAAACTGTCATTGACCTCTTAGATTACAAAGTTTCATAGAACGGACTGCAAAGAGACTTTCGTTAAGCCAAGCTATAACACAACTTGTTTCCTTTATTTTTAGCCGAATTCGTGTTTTTAAATTTACAACAGAATAATACTTAAATGCACTAATATCACAGGCCAGTATTGCCAGTTGAATATGTTGTGAACTACATGAAATATAAATATATACTTGTTATATAAATGTTATTGTTTTATTGTAAATTTTCTACTATACCTATTTGAGAAAGAACATGTCTAAAGTGTTACTATTTACAAGAATAATTTTGTTCTAATACAATAAATTGAAGATCATTTTGCTTAAAACAGGTAGATGTACGTTACTTTTATAAAGGCAATATTCATTTCTAACAATCAACTGTAGCAGGGTTCAGTGGAGGCAGAAAAAAGACGTACAAAAATGAATGTGTTCATTATAGACATCGAGGCGAGTCACGTAACAACATCAATCGACCACCAAATTTACTTTGTGCCAGCCCAAATATTTTTCTTAGCTCCTCTCTTGTGCTGAATTTATATGTCTTTTCTTGTTTTATATATTATATTATTCTAACCGGTATGGTATAAATATATTACTAACACAATTGAAGTTTTTGATTAATTCACCTGCCACACTTCCTTATCCAGCTGCACAAACGACCATTGATATTGAATGACGAGTTTAAGCTCTAATGAATGTTCTAATCTGAAATGTATATCGGTAATTATAAGCAATTTCAAATAATGTAAATTTTAATGTACTTTTATACATCTGGAAGTACACTGACGCACTTACACCTAAGAGTAATTTTTTTTTTAACGCAGGGCAAATGCACCTTAAGCCTCAAACCAGGACTCTCCTTCTACCCCGCCCTATAAAGAGCAGGTCGGTGTCGAAGGCCTAAATGGTAAAACCCGCTGCGGTTCATCCCACACGCATAGGAAGAACCCGGTGTCCTGCAAGGAGGGCCCGATTTCTTCCGCCGCGCTGGGACTCCTCTCGGGGGGAGAGGTGTCGTCCTCTGCGGGAAGGAAAATACTTGGGTGAACAACAGCCTTTTCCCAGATGGTGGGTCGTCCCGTGAGCTAATCCCAGGGGGGTGCGGGTGGGGTGACAGCCCTCGTCCGCCGATCCGCAGAAGGGAGGAATGCGTTAATACGCGATACGTATATACACTTCATTGACCTAAGTGTAAATCTGGTACCAAAAAAAAAATCTGCTTTTCAAATTGCCTGTGTTCTCGGAGCTCATTCACTGCCTCGGCACTTTCGCATTTTTAATTTCACAGTCGCATTTTTCATGGCATTTATGTTTTGACGTCATAGGAATTTTTGATATAATCCGTTACGTGACATGCGGTCGGGGTGTGCATGCTGTTATACGGACGTTAACCTTTAGCATATTACTCATTATTTAGTATATTGTATTGGCCAGTTCTTTTCTGCCTTTTTAGATAAATTGAAAAATGTTTTTTTTCGATATTTTACATGAGGTTATCCAAGTTATACAAAATATACTGGAATACTCATCGAATCATTATTTTTACATTTAGCGTGTTGTTAAAATATTAAAGTAAGGTAATTAAATGTTACAAGCACCTATTCGAAGCAAAAGCCGCTCATTTGTGGGGAAATTAAAATTTAAATAGCTATAATACATATTAATGGGTCCGTTACAACGAGGTTAACGTTGGATATTAGTACTGGACAATTAACGGCCGGTTTTTCAGCAAACTGCTTAAAAATTGATGGGAATATGCTGACTCGAGAAATTGGCTGAATCTAATCACACAGCTGATTCTGAACTTTGATGGATATAACGTAAAAAGAATCGATCATTTTTTATTAATTAAGATGAGCTCTTTGATTTATCGAAGTTATTTGAATATTACAAATAACTCGGATTTTAAATATCACAAAAATGTTAAATTGATATTACAATTTGATACAGTGTAAATTTTTGTTTTATTATTAAATAAACAAAACGTAGGTAAGTATATCGACAAATATCGGTCGTCAAATTCTAAATGTGCTAATAATAAACAAGGTTTAGCGTCAAAGTAAATTAACGCTTAAATTGCAATTTTAGTATCAGTCCTAATTCATATTATATAGAGAATAAGCGAACCCAAAATATAAATAAATATAGCTCTCGTAGAACCTTGTACTAGGTTACCTTTACTAAGTCTCTGTATAATAATATTATTTTTTGTCTAATACTAAGCACAGTCTCAGCGTAAATTTACTCCAACGCTATACCCTGTTTATTAATAATACTGTTTGAGTGCTATTAATAAACAAGGTTTAGCGACAGAGTAAATTTACGCTAAAATTGCAATTTATCATTAGTCCATATTCATATTATACAAAGAATGAAGAAAACCGACTAACTTCTAGAAGTAATTATTACTCCCGTAGAACGTTGTACTAGGCTAACCTTGGCTAAGTATCTGTTTAATAATATGAATTTTGACTAATAGTAAGTGCAGTCTCAGGGTAAATTTACTCCAACTTTAGCATTGTTTATTAATAACAATGTAACATTTTATAAAATAAATTCACTTTATGATTACTAAAATTATCCTGCAGGCACACAAACTTCTCTTATCTTAATATATGGTGTATTGTTGTAGAGCACTCATTTTCAACTTTATCTGTACATACATTTAATTTACAATAGAATCATATCCAATTTAGATTTTGCTGATTTAATCATAAAGCGTTTCACACGCGATTTATTACTTCTTTATTAAAAGTATGCATTCATAATAAGCTTTTTCAGCTAGATTATTTAGTCCTTACAGCTAAAACATCGACAGTGAGCTATAGAGCGAAAAAAAAATACATCCTTAAACCTATTTCGATATTCGGAGGCGCTTAAGAAATAAAAACAAATGAATAATTCAAAAATACTATTTTTTATAATATTAATATCGAAGTTGACTTTGGAAACTGTGAGTTTTTGTTTTAATTCAAAGAATCAATTTTGATTTAAAACCTAACATTATCATAATATCTTAGCCATATTCACGTTTTCTTTTTTTACGTTTAAAATGTAAGACAAAAGCTTTAGATTATAATAACTTTTCTATAGTATTCCGCATTGAAAGTTGAGACCCTTTCAATGAGGAATACTATAGAAAAGTTATAAGTAAAAGTTCAGAACAAGATAGAATATACATCCTACCAATCAAACCCTCTGTCTGCCAGAGGGATTTTTAATAAATTCCACAAAGTACCTTCGTTTCAGTAAAGCTTCTAATAAAATTAAAATTGTACAGTAATGAAAAATCCATTTCTGCAAAATCAATGCAATAGTTTTTTATTGTTAACTAGTTGTTTCTCATAACCTCATCCGCATAATTTATAATAATAATTTTTTTCAAGTATCTATATTGACATACATTCATTATAATTATACGGATATTTTATTTAAAAATATATATACCTAATAGCTGCGGATTCCGAGCTAGGATAACCCTGTACTTCAGCAAACGGTACTACCACTCTTATTTAACAAAAGACGGCTTATTTTTATATGTATGTATGTGTGTTCATCTTTCTCTGTGTGATGGAGATCTCTCTCTCTCTCTCTCTCTCTCTGTGTGTGTGTGTGTGTGTGTGTGTGTATGTGTGTTTGTGTCTGTGTGTGTGTGTGTAAGAGATATTGTATAGGAACTTCATCCAAAAAACAATGTATGACCTAAAGTTGACCGATATTGTCATAGCAACTGCATATGACAGATTCTGGTTTATCTTATTATCAAATGTTATTTCATAGTGTTTTCTAAGGAGTGAACATGAAATTAATATTTGTCTGAGTTTAAGTACTTCACAGTTTTCATATAAGGTCAAGTAAGGAAATTACACAATTTTTAAAAAGGATAAAAAGTATACAATAACTTATTAAAGACTAACACAAAGCTAGGTAGATTTGCTCAACAATCTTAGGCTCCAAGATGTATCTAATAGTTTTAAATACTACAATCAATTTTCGGATCTTACTACATAGCAACTGCACATGACTTTTGAAATTGAGATGAGTGTCTATATTAATTTCTAGATATTTTATTTGTTCAATACTCACAGATATGTGTGAATTATTTAGTCCAATTTTCTTTTACGTATAGAAAACGTTATATATTTTGTTTTATCGATGTTTAAGGTCAAACAATTGTCCAACAGCCATCCACAAAGATCATTAAGTGTGTTTTGCATATCACTGTACAAGCCCAGTGTACCCATAAATTAAAAGAACCGTATCATTTATATAGTAAATTAATTTACCGTTAAGCGGTTTAATGAAACAAAATTCGTTTTTATAAATATGAAACAACGTGGGTCCACAAATGCTGTCCTGACAGTCACTGCTAATATTTGCTTGGAAACAGTTTTGTAGGTAATTTTGAAAGAGATTTAATTGATTTCCCCATTGCCAATGGCTTCCAACTTATTTAACATCTCAGTTGTTAAATCCCAGATTTGATATCATGTCAAAGGCCTTTGCCAAATCTAAAAAAACAACTAAGCACTTTTTTGATCGTCTATGTTAGTAACGATATAGTCCGTCACAGCATGTACTACATCGGAAGTATGACAAAAACCGAAATGATTGGGTAATAACAACTTGCAATATTCCTAATATCTAACCAAACAATTATTTACAAACTTTTCCAGAATTTTGGAAAAGCCGGTCAATAGTGAAATAGGTCTGTAGTTTGTGACACGTTTCCTATCACCGTTTTTATAAATTGGAATTACAATAGACCTCTTGAGATCATCGGGAAATCAATACTAAATATTAATATAAATAAACTTAAGATTTTATCACATAATAACTCATGTAGCGCTTGTCAGTAAAGTTTAATATTTAGTTCGCAGATACATTGTCAAGATTTCGTATACTGGCGCCTCAATTCGTTTGTCCCAAGGATGAAAACGCAGTCTTGGATAAGCCAGATAATACAATTATAACGTACGTATGTTATTATGGACGTGAAAAAATTTTCACAATTTTAATTTTAAAATCTAACGCCAACCTTTTCAATTTGACATCTGAACGATATTCACTTCATTCAACTTCACGTTTCAACTATTTGAGATACGATAGTGATAGCGACGATTTTATTAGACCTTAATTGGATTTGTCCATGGCAAAAGTTAGAGTCAAAAAGTCTTTAAAAGTCTTTGAAAGCTATTGAGAAATATCAAACGAAAGTATTGAATGTTAATTGCAATCTTTCGACAAGTTTAACTAAGTTTTAATAATGTTTCTTTATCGTCCAAACCATCATTGGTCCCAACAGCGATTGTGACTCTAAACGTTACATAATTTTAAACAGCTATCACTATCGAAAGGCTTCGAGAAAGGTTTTGAAATTTCACTATTAGCCTACTGTTCAATAGCGCAGAGGCCATATATAACGCAGATGCGGAATTTGAGAAAGTTTTATAAGACGATCATAGGATAAATTACCAAAAAATTATTCTCTCTAGCTCCTCCGTGGTTTTTAACGAAAGTAAAAACGAAAAAGCCATCAGGCTTGAACCAACTGTACAAGCGCATATAGATAATCCTCATTTATGAGAGTACCAAAACTTCCACAATTCTAGCCTACTAGACGACTTTAAAATAAGTATATATTTTTTACGAAAATTGTAGATCGAAATTAAAAGTTTTTATTCAAAAACTATACTAAATCTACATAATCAAAAGATCGCGTATTTTGCTTTCTGATTTGATAATTTAATTAATATGTAAAATCAACATTTTTAAAAATAACGACATTATATTGAAGGTTAATATTAACAACCTAAAGAAAATCTTAGCTGGACATTAATGGAAGTTTTAAGAACTTATGGCACTGATCCTGGTAAAACCTGTTAAATGTGATTCTTTACAAAAATCAGTTAAATACACCATCCCACAGAAATTTTCAAACTCCATCTAATGGTAAAACCAGACGATGTAATGAATGTTATTTTTCAGGATCTTAAAGTCAGTTTAATTATTTCAATATTTTTTTTTTATTAGTTTACAGACAACTGATCCAGAACTTCGAATAGAATGGTTAGTACGATGGGTACCACTAGTTGCGCCCACGCAACGTTTCACTCTAATGCTGTGGAGAACGACACGTACGCTGGAGAAGCATCTGAATAGACTCCAACCGGAGCCAAATGTTTACGTGATTGAAAATAGAGAGGTGAATTAGCCGATAAGGATTCTTTACCTGTTTCAATAATTTAATAACCTGTATTAGCAATGTTTAAATCTATACCTTTATGACTTGCCATAGTTTGAGAATATCATGGATTATCACTTATTCATCATAATATCTCTTGTCAATGGAGCATATTGTGTTCTCTGTTATACACAATCGACATGGCCTTTTTATTTAAAATTGACAGTTTCTGTATACCTAGTTGGAAAACCTGTATGGTAATTTATATGTTTTATTCACAGTAGTTATATTGACAAGATGTTAAAATACTATTTATTTATATTATTTTGAAATAATCATTCCCCTCTTTGCGCTTCTATTTTCAGTATTGTATATTTTAATAAACTATCGTATCGTTACGAGTATCCCATCATCTTCTTTAGGTAGGTTAGGTAGTAGGTGGATCAAAGAATAACCTCCGACAAAAGCACAACGGTGTCAATCACCGTGATAAATTGTTAATACTTTCAAACCATCTTTGAGGAAAAAACAGTTAAATGCTACATATTAGTTAACTGTAGTAAAGGTAGCAGCACAATTATTTATTAAGTTTATAAGTTTCTCAATATAATCTAATTGACAAATCAGATGTTACTTGGCGTCAACTACATGTTCAACGTCACCGCAGTTAACAAAGATGGTACAGTCGAACAACCGAAGACCTTCAACATAGACAATACCCAAGGGGACAACAAACTTATGATCGAAGGCAGAAATGATATGATATCAGTTATCCTGGTTGGAGCTCAAATGGCGTACGCTGATAATACTTTCATTATAAACGCCGAGGTCACTACTTGTTATTATACACAAGATTATTATGTAAGCATAAATGTTCTAGTCTAGATATTTTCGTTAATAGAATCGCAAAAATTAAATGATATGTGTTCGATTTATTTAATTTTAAATCTTATACATATTTTAATTATTATCCTAGTGATCCATATCTGTCCCTGCTTAGTAAAAGCCGTAGATTCTAATGGTTTTAATTAGGTAAGTAATTATTTAGTTCTCCCTTATTTATCCATCTTTTCAGTTTTCTTGGACAGTTAGAGCTGTTGAATATACACACATTTTAAATATATCTAACGTTATTAGCTCAAGACTAGAATTACCGATGTTTTCTTTGAAACCTGGTTTGACATACAATATTAATTGTAAAGTTATACGACAAAGCAATGAAGACCTCATAACACAGGTAAGTGATTCTTATTTTAATAAATTTGAACATTCCTTAAATTATTTATTATTTAAAGTATCCGAAGCAACTTTTTGTCCGTTTTGAATTCCGACTTCTATAAATCGTAATTGAATCTAAAAAAAAACATATACAAAATGTTGTTTGAAAGATGTTAACACGTATAATACAACCCATTCAAAGAAAAGCAGAGTCAAGTCTATTACAATCTTACCTTGACTGAAATATTTATTAAATGTAGTGTTCTGTGTAACCTCATTCAATTTCTGTGGAATGACAATGTATTTAAAATGCATTAAACTTCTTTCAGACGAATTTACCTTTTAAAGTAGCTTATCGAGGTCTTGTGGTATATCTCAGCGCTGATTATTTAATGGTTTCTACTAATTACGAATTTTCAATAGAATCTTTTGTCATCAATCATGATTATTATGAAGCACCATTAACTGTAAGTAAATGTGATGTTGAATAGTATAAAATTTGTCAGTATCACTTATTACCTTTGTGACGGAACACAACACAATAATTCAATAAATAAAGCAAAATGCATCGATTATTTATTAATAATTTTAGCCTTAGAAATTGTCGTGCTGGATGGGATTTTAAAGGTGGATTCCTGGAAAGAATCACCACTTCAAATATTTCGTTACATGTAGAAATTGACTTGGATAAACAACACATTTTAGAATAGGTCCCATTTGGGGCTGAAAAGCCTGTCATGTCAAGTAAATTATGGATTTTAAAGTGGGGTTTTAGAAGAAACGGACACTTAGAAACTAACAAAATTAGCAATATATTTGATTATAAGTGACATGTAAGGGTGAGAATTATCAAGTGGGTTATGGTGTTTCAAAATGTGTTCTTAGAAGAAATCATTATTTTAGTTTTTGTGATTGCTCGGGCCAGGGTTTGACATAGGGTCATCGAGGGCAGGTAGTACTGATTGCCTTAAATTACTACAATGTCGAGACACATGTTGAGGGTGCAGGCGTGGGATGCTTGACAACTTAAATCAATGAAATGTTCTGTAAAGAATTGGTATTATGAAGAAATAAGTGGAGGTATTAAAATTACCTCTTTGATTTATTGGTTGCCTGCAATGTCTTAAATTCAACAGGAAGGCCGAAAGACAATAAAGTAACATTAATCTTGCTGTTCTTAAAGAAATATTCGTAGAAATTTGTGTGCTCTTGACCAAAATAAAACTATTTAAAGTTGGACATCATTTTGCCATTTAAAAGGTTAAAATATGATGACAGATATTGTGTCTTGGTCCCTTAGGACAATATAGCTCTTTTATACAAAAAATAACAATAAAGACAAAAGGTCAAAACTATTGCTTCCAGATGCTAGGGTATTTTAGATAATTAATAATAAAGTATAATTGTTTCAAAATGACCCCTAATAGCAGGGAGATAAGGTATAATGACCAATATTAAGCGCTAAACATTTGTGAATTTGGGATATTAGTGGGCGTTGCGCTTACGCATGGGTGGAGCCTTATTCTAGTAGACGCAAAAGGGATGAACAAGGAAGCAATTCGTATTATTGTTCATATTGGTTTAGTCTTAAGAAATAATTTTGTATGTCAATTAGGATAGTTACCATAAGATAATAGAAATAGGCGTGGTGTGAGAAATGTTACGGGGGTAGCAAATGTTTTAAAAGAAGATGCGGGAGACAGTCTGGGACAGTCTAAGGGAGTCCGGTGGAGGCCGGGAACAGGATCGTAACTCGGGATTCTGTCGGTTCGTTGCGAGTTTTCGTGAATTTAAGGGAGTCTGGTGGAGACCGAGAGCGGGATCAGAACTCGGGCTTTCTGAGGGTTCGTCACGAGCTTTACGAAATAGTTGATGCGATTCTGAGAGTTGTCGTAGTCTTGCTATCAGATCAGTGCGTCGCGAGATTTGATAGGCAGGTCTGAATTGCTTAGAAGGAAGGCGAATCTCTATATATATGTTAGTGCGGTACGAATATATACGTAGGTTACATTACGAATTATAAAAATCCTTATTAAACCTTAAGTATGAGTCAGTTCGACGCGGGCTTATTAAAGTCAGTGTTTTATAATAATTAGAGTCAGTGGGTCTATTAGAACTTGTCAATGGTAGAGTTAGTGCGGTTGAAAACTCTACATTTAGGGTAAAATAGAAATTATAATCCTCCGTTGGACTCGGGTTCAAGGCCTCCGTCTTGAACCGCAAGTAAGTGGGTGTTAGGTACGCTAGGGTCTCATTAGGTTGTTAGGAATAAATTAGGTTTGCTAGGATTGTGTTATATTGTATTTTGTAATATTAAAAAGTAACATTAATGTTCAGAGTAAAGTAATAAAGGCAAGTTAAAGATATATTAGACTGTATTAACTTATTATAGATGGCCAATATGAGTGGTATACATTTAAATATTGTATACGATATTAATGTTATATTTAAGGGATAGCTAACGATACCTAAATGGTGAGAATTAACGACAAACAGGGTAAAGCGGCGTAGGTCTTATAATATTATTATTATGCAGTGAATAGTTTACGTACACATTATACAAGATTTTATATCTAAATAAATATAACAGCCCTTATTATGGGAGAGACTTTAGCCGAACATACGACGGCTTATTTCATAAACTATATGCATAGAACAGATATATTAGTTGAGATAATTCTCAAATACATGTTGAATATAGGTCATGACTTGTGTCTGTCCTATATACATTACTCTACGTTTCTTCAGTTGACTACTTTAATAACACTGGTGACATTCAGAAATTATATATATTCTTCACTAAAAGAAATATGGTTATTTTACCATACAACATTTAAATAAATAATAATAACAATAAATTCCTCATTTTATGAGAGACTTATAACAGCTGAATCTATATACAGTTTAATAAATAAATTATATGCGCAATGCATAAATCTTCAAGATTCATCATGCTGGCGAGCAAAATACTGCAATCTTATAAATGTCCAACATAGGCCATGACGCATGTCTGTCCTACACTATTACGCTACCTTATTGTGTTGCCTAGCTTAATAATGCTGGTAACGCTAACATACATTTCTATATTTTGGTTAAATAACCAAACAATATATTACAAATAATAATAATCTCTTCATTATATGAGAGACTTCTGCTGAACATATAACAGCATACTTAATAAATTATATGCGCAATGCATAAATATTTACAAGTACTTCAGCTGGCGAGCTAAATACTGCAAACTCTACAAATATTCATCGTAGGTCATGACATATGTCACCCTACAACATACCACTACCTTTCCTGAGTTGCCTAGTTCGATAACATTGGTAATTCTTATAATTATGATTTATATTGAAATAACAAATGCCTCCAGTTTGGCTGCTGATACATGTGGGTTATGGTCGGCTCCGTTTGTTGGTCGACAGTCGGCTCATATATTGTTAGGATGGCGGTCGTCAGTTATACTGGCTTACCATTATGCCATTAGGGACTTATTTCCACTCAGTATATCGGCGTCTATGCATGGCGGTAGACTTGCTCCCTTGAAGCCCTGTAGCGATCTACATTGGGTGGAGGACCAGTTGAGTTCCTGTGTAGTTCCCCGGTTGCTGTGTGTGTCGTTTCGCCTTTTTACTATGTTTGGCCAAGGCCTTCATGGTGTCTACAACCCTACTGTGAACAATGAATGTGTGCCCGATCATACACCATTATGAATCATGCTAGTTACATTGGATGTAAATGTAACGTCTATAATTAATTTTATTATGAGTTTAGTGCTGGGTTGACTCCTCCTAACTCCTTACCATTTCTTTCTTTGGTTAAGGGGCCGTGATGGTGGGTCTCAAGCTGAGGGCGTGGTCGGGGCCTGAAAGCACCTTCAACACAAATAATGTGTATATATTTTCACAACATCCTTCTCATTGGATTTAATTATACTTTTACTTTCTAATCTTAGTCCTAATACCTTATTCCTTCCATCCTTTCATTTACCTTTATTAAATATTTCATTTCTATGTTAAATACAACATTTCTATTATAATGTAATGTAACCAGTGTTATTATGCTCAAGTGTCATTACTTTCTCTTACTAAAATCTTATGGTTCTATACTTCACAAGGTACTTAGGGACTTATTAGTGTTAGGTTAATCGAATTTATTTAGTAGGTAGGTAATTCTTTTACATGCCCTCAATAACATATTCTCTTACTGCTAACAATCGCCTACAAAAAAGAACCAGAGTTACTACACACAACACAACGTAGGTCCTATTAGACGATCACTGCCAATACAAATATTTTTATTAGAAGGTCTTATTAGACTGCGCATTTAATTGATCATTTAAATTTTATATTTTATTAAAGAAAATTAATTATTGATAGTAGGGAATATTATTTATTTCATTATCCATTATTTAAAATAAAAATAAGGAAAGCTAGGAGAAGGGGGGCACCGTTACAAATGGTGCCGTGACCAGGATATGAGGTTTCAAGTATTGTTAGCTTGTGGAGTTTCTTGGGGGCGTGAAATTGATTATATTAGCTTTTAAATAAATTGTAAATATTTTCTAACATAGGGTCTACTTGGGTGCGTAAAGTCTTCTATATCTAGTTACGTTATGTAAAATGTTTAGTGCAATAAAGAGTATAATTACATTAATATTATGG